GCACCATTATTGTACGGTGGAGTTTTCACGATCAAAGTCTTGGTTGGTGAGGTACTTTATGTGACGCCCGTGGACGATTAGATCGACCGCCGCAGTTGCCCGTGACTACGGGGTATAGCCGAGAAAACGGGAGCTGTTATAGCGAATCCTCGGCATTTGCCCGATGATGCGTACCTACCCTCGTAGAGCTGGTGTTAATAATATACGAATGGGCGGATATTTATATTAGGTGTATGTATTATATACCCGCTCCTGTGAACAATAGAAGCGAGGCATCGTCCCTCCTCTCCTTCCTCCCATAGCGAAGATGACCGCGGCCCTTTGGAGGCTTACGCCAGTGGACCTACACTGAGTTATTGTTATTGATATTGGAATCTTAGTGAGAGATCTGGCACGCGTGTTATTGCATTTCATTCTTTGCTCGCTCTTCTTCGTCTTTCCCTCCCCCCCCCCTCCCTTCTGATTTGAGGCGCAATAAAGTTAGGATACTCGAAACATCACCTCTGCCAGCTGCACTGTGTGCCACCCTACTGGAAAATGTTTCATAAAGTTTCTTCGTATAGTGGGCGAGCTGCGGTGAAATTTCTAAATTTATTATTGTGAATTCAATCCTGAAATATATATCTATGAGTTCTTACGATACTGATTTACCACGTGCCTATGGTAAAAAAAGGCGCTATTATAGTCCAGGCTTGCGGAGTGCCTCTGGAAGCGTGCTGTACAATTTTTTTGAAAATTGGATAAAATATTCGTTTTTGAGAAACTGTATCTACACGATTACATTCATACGAAACAGCTTAAAAATCTTGTGAACGCTGACTTTTTGAATGATACTTTTTTTTTGGGGGGGGGGGGAAGGGNTATATATCTATGAGTTCTTACGATACTGATTTACCACGTGCCTATGGTAAAAAAAGGCGCTATTATAGTCCAGGCTTGCGGAGTGCCTCTGGAAGCGTGCTGTACAATTTTTTTGAAAATTGGATAAAATATTCGTTTTTGAGAAACTGTATATGCGTAATTACATGCATACGAAACAGCGTACAAATGCGGTGAACGCGGAGTTTTTGAATGATACTTTTTTTTGGGGGGGGGGGGAAGGGGGAATTAACGTCTTCTTCAACTTTAAATAACGATGTGTCGTGTACATTAGTACATTGCAGCTCACGTTTTAACTAAACTTTTCCCAAAAAATCGCCAAAGTTATATTCGAAAATACGATTGCGAGGGCAAAAATTGTCGAGTGGAATAAAAGAGATGCTCAACAAGTCACTGCGTGCAGCGTTGGTCGATGCATTTTTTTCTTTTTTTTTTTTTTTTCATTCGGCGAGCCAACGTTTCTGTCAAAGTGGCTCTCTCAGATTCGTTTCGGCGATAATTCTTATAGCAGCTACCGGTTCGGCGAGGACAAAGCTTAGCTTCGGGCCTCGAGGTACCCAACAAGCTTTGAGGATCGACTAATGTTTTTCATTTTTTTTTTTTTTTTTTTTTTCTCTACCGCATCAAGATCTTTGTATAGCTTAGCCCGAAACCCGAGCGCTCGAGGGAATCATCAAGAAGTAGACTTTATGTATTGGCTTGCATGAAATTCCAAAATTTATTGTAAATGAATAAAATGTAGATTTTGTCGGGACGATTTCATTCAATGCAGGATATTAACATACAAATACTTAATGAAATTTCGAAACTTGTCTTGCTCTTAAGATTGTAAGTTTGTCACATTATTTTTACTTTATGGGGCGATTGAAATTTGATTGCGCTTTCTATATTCACATTAAACAAGCTTTCGTTGGTGCCGCTATCCATTACCAAAATATTTTAAAAATTTAAGAAGAAAGGACTTAATTAATGTTGCTGAGTTAATTTAAATTTAAGTATCCAGCACCCCGCAACATTTTTCTTCTGTGCCAAGGAAACATTGGACAAAGGTGATTTCATTAGCGTCAACTGAGCTGTACTTGTGCGTCGAAAACAAGTGAAATATGTCTGACACGCGTGTAGCGTAAGTAAAACAAAAAAAAACAAAAAAATTACCTGCATCAATTTTGCATTGGCTTATAATAATGTAGCCCTCGTTTAAAGTATCGTAATGTACAAGGAAGGCTCGAGAGGCACATACATAAATTGGCTTTCGTGTCCGAGGCAGCAACACCGGCAGTCCTTAATACGGCGGCTCGGCTGTAATAAGGTGATGGCAGCCCGAGGGTGGATTTTAATTATCGGATCGAAGTGGCGTTGTTAATTCGCAACAAGCCCCCACTCTCTTTCTCTTTCAATTCGCCCTTATTCTTCCTCTCCCCCATACTTAACCTACACTGCTCACTTACACCGCATGTACCGCTTTATAAAAGGTAACAACCTCCGTTGCGGCATTTTACTTTTCGCTGTTTATTTATTTATTTTTTTTTTTTTTTCAACATCCATTTTATTATTTCAATGATAATTCAAGAGAGCAACTCAAATTGTTTTTTTTTTTTTTTTTTTAACAAGTAAGAGAAAGAAAAAATACGCAACAAACAATCAAAGTAATTATGTATAACTATTGGAAATAATTCATTAGCTAATACAATAAAGTACAATGTTGAACATAAATGTGCGGCTTTGTGGCGGTAAATTTTGTCGATTGTTTGTTATTTTCGCGTCCAGATTGATGTACTCCACGCAATAAAATATTCAATGATATTGGGCAGATGAAACGAACGTCCATATCAGCGTTCAATGTAACGATTAACTCTGCGGCAGTGCCGTAGAAACGCCACGAGACTTGAAAAAAATGAGAGTCTTTAAAATAAACGCAAAGCGCGGCTGGTTCCCTTCGGTGCTGTGGCATTTTTTAATTGGTTCTATTTATTTGAGCCGCATCTAAATCACGCGATCGGTGCAGCCGTCTCATTATACCTACAGGCGAGTCGTAATGTGCAGGAACAAAGCCAACTCGTCCTTTTGACGGGATGACGAGGCTTCCCGGTTACAAACGAGAATCTAAATCGCTCAAAAATTCATTAGCCCCCCTTTTTTTTTTTTGTTTTTTGTTTTGAGGCGCTAAATTTTCCACTTTCGTCGTCGTCGACGCCACCATAAACGAGCTTTTTTTTACTGCTTCCCAAAGATATGCGTGGCGAAAGCTTACGGTGGGCTAATGCAGGGGCAAATTAATTTCGAATGACCGTTCGTTACGAGGGCGTTTTTTCAGCTCGTGCAACGATAATTTTCGTCCCGGCGTAAAAATGCAAATGATGCTTCGATGCCCCTTAAGGAGGTGCATCACATGTGCACACAGCATAGTACATACTATGTGCAGGTGTGTGTGTGTGTGTGTACGTACTTGCACCGAGTTTAAAAAGAGAGCAAGGAAAGGCGGGGTCGCCGTGCACGCACGTGCTCCCGATCCGTCACTCTGTATAATATAATAGGGTATATATGTGCACGCTGGGCCGCTGTACACAACCGAATCGCCCAAATTGCTTTTTAACGACTCGCAACTCGGTAACCGAGCATCCTCTGCAAATCCTGAAAATTCGACAATTTTTTTATTCGCACTGTGCTCGAACTTGAACATTTCTATTTGCCTTTGGTTAACACAATTTTTGATGGAGAAAAAACTTACACCTTTATCTCGTCACGCTATATTATAAAGCCTTACGATGGTGCGAGGCTAATAAAAGCTTCAAATGTTATTTCCAAATTTATTTTATTTATTTATTTTATTTTGTCACTGTTTTTTTTTCTGCGTTGCCCAAGTACCCGCACGTTGCTTATTGTGAAAAATGTAAAAAAAATGATCAAAAACAACCCCATCGATGCATGCACTTATTCCCTATTGTTATACGCGCACGATTAACAAAAAAAAGTATATACATATCCTCATGGACCAATTGCCGTTTTATTGTTGATCAATAATAATAATAACATAATTCAATGTTTTGGCGATATTACCACCTATACGTATCATCGTTATGTATAATATTGTACTACTAGACAGTAAGGTATCGGAGTTTCTTTTTGGTGCGCTCCAATTGTTGCTTATGTTCGAGGCGTAGCCCAGTGCAAATAAATCAATGACGCATCGTTCCCCTTCACCCGCACTTACACAAACACGATAATCAAGTGACTGCATATATCCACCTGTGCCCATAACTATATGCCTAACAAGTATCTATGCGTGCGTGTACACCGGCTGTGGCTAAAATACGTACTTATACCTGCATACTTTTTAATTTGCCTCTTGGAGCCGTACATCCATTACTTACATCGAGAGCACGTAATTGTTTAACAGCGCATGTTTTTTTTTTTTTTTTTTTTTTTTTTCGCTCTTGTACGGCGCGCGCGCACGAGCGCACGGGTAAAAAATTGAAACCCCACAAGTGAATTAAAATTAACGCCCCACTCGTAAATCAAAGCCTGGTTGAAAAAATTAATTGAGGGTAGGTACAAGAGAGGGGTTGTATGGATTATCGAAGCTATTACTTTTTCTCCTCTCCTTTCTTTCTTTTTTCTCTTTTCACGACTGTTAAATCAAAAAGTGAAATTAATCGATCGCGTGTCTAATAATTGCATCATGTGATGCTCATTAAAACAACTCTGATTTATTTGGTTCATCGAACTTTTAAAGCTTTTTTAATGTATTTTGAGTTGAATAACATAAAACAATTCTAATTATTTATCATTAACTTTCGGGAGATACCATTTTTTAGTTCTTCAACTCGTTCTGAGAATAAAACGTTTTCAGTCTTATAAGTAGAATTAAACAAATCACCCACAGTTATTGTTAACAAAATTATTTTATGAAAAACATTTTTTTTTAAGAAATAATGTATCAATCATAAACATTGGTCACCATTTTCTAGTATTACAACACGTACATACAGTCCCGATGGCCCTTGTTTAAATTTCGCGCTACTAAGGTTTTCGGCGTCACTGGTGCCAATCTACGTTTTATATTACTTATAGATACACTCGACAGAACACAAAAAGATCCCTAGCCCTGGTGTATGATAACCTTCAATACGTCATGTCACAAGTCGTACACAACTATCGAATCAGATGTTAAGTATAAGTACGAAATATTTATTAACACATCCGTCAGCTGTCATTTCGTGTGCCATAGAAAATTTCAACTAGAGGATAGCGTACAGTAGAAGGATGGCTCAATTGCCATCGGGATTCGTTTCTCATTCTCGAAAAGTTTGCAATCTTTACAAACGCCTTTTACGTCACATAGAATCTTCTTACTACCATTTAGAAGATGTTAGGTATGTGTTATAAATAAATCCATGCATACATGTATACCAGTAACCTTTAATGCTTTTCGTTGAAATTTTCATAATTATTTGCTGTTAATTAGACTTGATTTTGTTTTGTAGATATGAGTCTGTTATTCTGAGAGCTGAATTTGATAAAAACAAGGACATCAAAGATCTACGGTTTGCAAAAGAAATGATGTCTCAAGCAGAAGACAAGTTAATGAAAGATCTTCATTGGAATTATAAAAAGTTTGCCGAATCACCAGGTGGTTGTGCATTTGGCAGAGATCATGTTCCTCCAGACTGGATCATAGATTATTGGGATCCAATGGAAAAAGCCATGTATCCAAAATATTTTCTTCTTCGAGAGCAAAGGAAAAAAGAATTTGAAGAATTTTACAAAAGAAATTATGCTAACCTGCGTACTGCCACTGACCAACATTGATTATTATCATTCTTCAACCGTTTCAAATAGCACATTTCTTAGTTTTAATGATTTATTAAACTCAAATGTTATGCACTTTAGGTACATAAATGTACATTATGAAAGTTACAACTGTTGCTCTCTTTTATCCCTTTGTATTTTGCTTTAGCATAATTAACAAATTCCCAAAGAAGCAGCATCAACTCAAGTAATTTTTATTCATGGACATGTTAAGTATTAAATGCATCTAAAACTTTTCAGATAAAAACTGGACAAATTTTCTCCAATGCTACAACTAAGGGTTAGGTTAGTTTTTCATGTAAACAAAACGCTCCGAGAAAAAGAGACTGCTATGGCACTTACGTATTTTCTTACAAAATTAATTGCTTGATTGTCCTCGTTTTTTAATTTTCAATGGATTCAAACGAGTATAAAATTGAAGTTCAGAGTATTTTAAGTTATGCATTAAATAATAATATACCTCCAGAGCAGGCCGATAAAATATTTCAAGAGTGCTTTTGTTTACTTGATATAAAAGTGCATTCAAGGATAATCACTGCTTTAAAATGGCTTAAATTTGTTGGAACACTGTTTTGCGTGATTTTTTTAAGTACGTTTATTTTGTACAATCATCCACAAACACACAGTTTACTTTTGAGAAACTTACAAGGATATATTTATCCTGGATTTCGAATCTTTCGAAAACTTGCTGTACCTGTCATATCAACTTATCCATCACTGACAGGTAATGTGTTACTTTCTCTTAATTACTTTGACATGGAACTTGCACTCGGATGTTAAAACATAAAATATGTTATAAATCATGTGTTATATATTTCATGCCAAAATTAACTTTAAATTATGTTTAGAAATATGTTATTTATTATGTAAAAACTTACCAAAAAAATTGTTGTAAGATCATACATTATATTTTTCGATACAACTGACATGATATCTAATTATTGAAAATACCCGTAGAATGGTACGATGAGTGGTGTATAGTAGAAAATCCATTTTTCAAAGTGAACGAAATGGACTGTTGGCCCTGCAGTAATGTGGATTCAGTCAAAAACTATTCTGGTTACAAAGTCACATTTAATTTTGGGACGCCGTTTACTCGACTTGAGAGGTATACAAATTTTGATATTGACGAACTCTTCAAACTGTATGTACAAAACGAAAAAGTGTTTCATCATCACATGGACTCAACCCGTCATCAATTCCAAGAAGCAAGGTAAAACGTTATAATATTTTGTGTACATAAAATGAAATACAATTCAATCATTGTACATGCTGAATCGAGTATTTTTCATCCTCTTTCGAAAATGTATTTTTAAAACAAGTATTTCAGAAACACACGGTGCCTAGTAAATAACGAAACATTTGATAAGAATGCAATTGTAAAAGAAAAAAAACACATAACTTGGAGGATAAATCGTATGGAGATTGATCGAAAATTGAGAAAATTATTACCTAAACTACCGGGCGTGCCCGATTGGTGGAACCCAAGCACGGAGAAATTTGTTTTCTTCGATAAACCGGATGCTATAAAATATAGTTTGGTATGCACTTGAGGATATTAATAAGCGTTTAATTGACATTGCTATTTACTGGAATTTTTCAAGTACTCATAAGGACTTTATCCTTTACTTTAAAACTGCTACTCATCTTGTATTCAACAATATAATATATTTTAGCCAAACCCCGAATGCGCTAATGTAATAATCCAATGTATCAGCGGAGAGCGATTGATACAATTATTACCTAGTCCGGAGTGTACGCGGAATTGCCATAAACTACATGTACTGCTGTCAGCATCTCAAAGCCGTAAGTTGAAAAATACATTTTAGCTCAACTCCGCGAGAATATTTCTTTATTATTTACGAATTGATTAAAATTGTGACAAGCTTGAAGAAAATTTGCTAACTCTAAAAAATTATACTGGGCCTCACTGTAATTTATTGATTTCATATAAATTATTTACACATCAATATTTTACAAGAAAATGTGTATGTATTTGTTCTTATTTTATTCCAGTATGGTACAATTGGTGGTACTGGCGTCCAGTTAGTCTTCCATCAAGTAATTCAACAAACACAACAATAACGTATCTTACATCATTTTGCTAAGGTTTTATACGTAAAACAAAGTCTGTTTTGTTTGAAATATAAATTATCAAGTAAAGCTTGTTACTAAAATAAGCTCGTGCCAAAATATTTCTAACTTCAACAATTACAGTGATCTACTTGAACGATTCAACGTTGTATTATAAGCTTTTCCACTAGGAGAACAAGTTGTTTTCAGCCAAACTCTTTTTAAATAAGCTATTACATTTCAACACTTTTTGTGTACTTATAGCTGTTCCCTGTATATAAATTTAATATAAATACTTTTTAATTTTTTTGACATTGTTTTCATTAAAAATAATTTACCAATTACAATTATTTAGTGACTTTGACCCGACAAACTAAAAATTATTTAACACTTTTCTTTTACTTTTTACAACAACACATCTTAAATATTACTAAATATATCATACTCACAAACACACGTCCACTGTGGGTTGATACTAAAAAGCAGGAGGATGGAAGTAAAAAAAATAATACACACTCAAATGCAATGCAAAGTGCTCAAAGTCTATTGTAATTAAATATTTCATTAGAGTGATTTTAGTTGAGAAGTAAAAAGATTCATCTTATCAATTTTCGCCATACTTATTACTTTTGATGGACCAAATTAGAAGGGAATAACTAGACTGGAAAAATTAAAAACTAAATTATTCAAATTTCTTTCTAATTTGACTTTTAAATATAACTGGTAGGAGAGAAAGTAAAGAAAAAATAAACAACAAAAATAAGCTACTCAATGGGAATGCATCTTTGGACGAAGTTAATTTATTTAAAGTCTGTCCTGCTTGTATGGCGACAAATGATGCTGGTGCAACACCAAATAACGTGCCAATCATAAATGGTAATAATGGCACTCCGACTACTGGGCTCGCTAGATTTATAAACCAATTTGGTATCAACGGAGTAATCCTAACAAATAACATATAGTTCAATAAATTGTCCTTGTGCTTGGTCACAGTTTCAGCCCAAAGCTTAGCCTTGTTTGGACAATACTTTTGCACGAGTTTTTTTCCTGCTAAAGATGACAGCAGATAACACAACGAAGCTCCGATTGCACTGCAGGTACACACCAGGGTCAGGGCAAGTGGAAAAGGAAATAAGAATCCAGATAGAATTGACAAAAAAATTGATCCAGGTATCGCAAATGTTTGAAGACTACATAATTAATGATTTAAGGTATAATACTTTCCACATAAGCAATGAAATATTAATTAAAATGTTTTTAAAAACTTTGAAAGGGTAAAAAAAGGATACAATATGTATGTCACAAAAAGGCCCATTAAAACTTGAACATAATACAAGTCTTTGTAGGATCCCAATAGTTTTCCAAGATTCTTGGCATCTTCAATGTCATATGGTATCTTTAAATATTGTTTTTCGTTCCTGAAACAATAATAGATGAAAATAGAAAATAATGGCATAAAATGACGATTTTAATATAATTACATCTAACAATGTAATGAAAATACAAGACTTACTCTTGTAAGGTAGGAAAGCTTGCATAGACATAAAATAGAGCTGTTGACGATATCACAAAGGTCAGGCCAACTACCAAGAGACCTTTGCGAGCTGATATTTCACCATCCATATCTATCAAATTAACGCAACTTCCTTATGTAAATGATTGTATGAAAAATATAAATGAAAGTGCTAAGACATCAAAATTCAATGATAGAGAATGCAAAAAAACAAAAGAAACTAACGATGACAAATAAAACGTATGAGAGTGAGTGCGGGTGTTTGCTTGAGTAATGAAAAATGGAAAAACACTAAACGAAGAAATACTTTACTTACCTTTCTGTCTTGGAGACTTCGGTTGCAGAGAAAATTATGTACGTCGTACAACAGAATCTAACAATGTTGGTCATGTGTCTGCGAGTTTTTGCTTTTGAATCAAATTTCGTTCGGCTAGCATAACTCTAGTTAATACAATGCTTTCCTTATATTATAATTTGCGGACACAAACTAAAAAAGCATTCAGAAGTTCAGTAAAAGGACAGTTTTCTCTCCATCATTTTTTTTTCACACCCTAACCCCCTCTACGTTCTGTTCCGAAACACGCGATGTTACACTGATATATATATATATATATATCAGGTCACGTGATCATCATAATTGCGAGTCTGCGTCGTCTACGCGGACAGTTTGACGTTTGACTCGTGAGTCGTGAGTCATGATATTTAATTGATGAACGATTTGTTTGAAGCTTTGGAGAGCTATTTACAATGACGCAACGCTTGAGTGTGGGTGTACTCCCAAAGTCAGGCTCGACCCTTACCAACTCACTGGTAACACTTAATTACGACATAATACCTATATATTGAGACGCATTTAAGCTACCAATAAAGCGATGAGCTTGATGACATCCAATGTCACGTCATTATGAACAGCTCCTTCTAGCTCGATCCGAGGTGCTCGTAGGCTAAAAAATACGGATAGCATTTTAATGTATATATAATTATAGAGGCCTCGGAGCCGGAGGTCCTCCAAGCTCTGAGTTAAAGTCCTGAACAAATATATTACTCAATTCAATGACAGAGTCTATCAGGATATTTTCCGTGAACAGACAGATAGACTCTCCACATTATCCACTTTAGTTAAAAAAATATTTATTTCATTTATATGAGTGATACTAAATGTAAACAACTCTAGGAAATAAAAAAAAAATACAAATAAATAAAAAAACGTATTCCAGTTAGGTAATATTGTAAAATAATTTTAAAACAAGAATAGTTTGACAAATTAAAGTAAGTGCTGCGCTAGCACTATATGTTAATAAATAAAACAATAAAATATTTAAAGTAATTCATGTAATTTACAACGAGGTAAAAATAAACTGGATTTTAGATGGAATGTTCTTATGTCAATAATAGCCAGTTTTCAAAATGCTTGTTTATTTATCATTCATTGGTGCATGATTGATGAATTTTCAAATAAATCACTAAAATTAAAGTAACAAAATTGATTTCTTTTTTGCATTGAATAAACTTTTTTAACCCTATCATTCATAACAAAAATATTACATCGCAAATAATAAAAATTGGAATGTACATACATTACATAGACATATTAATAAATAACTTACTAATTAAAAATAGATCTTGGTAAAGGTTTCCGTTAAATATCACTTGATTCATACTTTATAAAATGATTAGTTACATGCGCGTCTGTTTGGATAAACACAAACTTGTTTCAATAACTTGAAATTAACTAAATAATCTCTTTGATAATTTATCCTTCCTGTACAAATATTTATATATAAAATAACACCTTTTAAAATCAACTTCAAGATGCAATAATTATTTATACAGATAAATTTATTTTTATATCAATTTTGTAAGTAGCTTTGATATATTTTAAATTATTTATAAAATAAAATTGCCCTATATTCGTTATGAATTTTTGGTCCTATGCTTCGTAAGCAATCTTGAAATAGTACTGATAATTCAGTAAGTATCAAGGGATTTATGAGTGTTGCAAAACTTGATCTACTTCTCTCTTTCTTTTTCTCCTGACGGTGATTTTTAAAAGAAAATATTTCGTGTTTTTTTTGCACAATCTTTTAAAACAATTTTCACATTATAGCATTTAATAGATAAATCATCTCATTTACGTTCAAATGTTCACATTAGCACAAATTGCGCAGACTGTATGAGCTAATAGCTTGTTTCTTATGAAAATATTAATTTTATATTGAATACTTCTACTCTTAACAGTATTAGTTTGTGGTTCATAACTTTGAATAATTATATACTTTTACATATTATTTTCTCTCTCAAGCACTTGAATTCTTGTACTATTTACGAAATCATTACTCTAAGAGTGACTCGATTAAATACATTTTTAATCTATTTTTGTAAATATATATTATTTAAATGTATATATCTATATTATTTATATATTTTTAAACTAGATGGTCAGAACTGTAATCGCCGCGATTAAGCTCTATGGACGGATTTTTCACTCACTTGGTGACTGTTTGCTGGACAAAAATTTACGTAAAGGCACACATTTTTGCTGTACAGTTTTCTCTTCTAGTAAACACGAGTGATGGCAAAACAAAAATCTGTCATCATTAAACGAAACACGTTTACTTGTAAATATTTTACTTAAAATTTTGTTTCATACAGTATTAAAGTTTTTGTACATACATCGTGTAAGCAAATAAATTTTTAAAAAGTTTTCTTTTATTTTTTTACTACAAGATGATAAGTACTTGCGGTTTAACAACTAAGGTTTACCGTGGTAACTTATAATTTTTACAAGTATTATTCCCACTCTTTGGTCTATTTGACACGACGACAAACGAAAATTCTATTACTGTTTTTCATGTTTTCAATAATCATACTGGTTTTTCAGTATTTTAAGAAATTGTCATCGTAAAAAGTTCTTCATATAATTCAATTTTACATCGATATCATTGAAACTCTAGTGAGTAATGCTTTTATACGATCATCGATATTTGTTACTAATTGAATTATTTTTATTAAATCTATTTTATATTTTAATTGTCTTTTTTTTTAAGTATCGACAAATAGTTGAAAAATATTTACAAGTATTCGTGTCATATAACTCTAGTCAATAATCAAACTAATAGATAGTTTTTCATTGCTACAGACGAAAATTTTTGTTACCAAGAGTCAGTATTTAAAGTCCATTAAATAAATTGAAACAATCAAACATAATTAAAACAATTTTTAACAATACAGATAAAAACGGAAGTAGACTAGCTAATATGCAGACCAAATTGATGTAGTTATAAAAAAAATTGAAACAGTCAATTTGAGAAACATAAAATATGCAAGTCTGTTCATTGGTGGCTTTTACTAAGTAAATGCGAATTGAATTGGTATAAATTGCAACACTGTTCACCACATATGTTACATTTCCAAGGATTACTTTCACTGTGACAACCTTTATGTAAAAAATAAAGAGTTTGATCTGGAAAAGTTATTCTACAGTAACTGCATTGAAGACTATCATTTCGCGGATCCAGTCTCGTTGACGATGTTGGTTCGCTTCGAAAATGAGGGCTATTGCACATTGAGTTATCACTCATCCTAATACCACTAATGCTATTTCGGTTGTTAACGCTTTTGTTGTTGTTATTGTTGTTAGTATTGTTATTGTTGTTGTTATTATTATTATTGTTGTTAACATTTTTGTTACAGTAGGAGCTATTTGAAAGTTTGCGGCGTAAATCTTCGCGAAGTAAAGATTTTAAAGGCGATACTTTGATCATTGATGGCAAACTTAAATTGCTGGATGTAGTTCCATTTTCATTTAACGCTCCATTGCTAATTGGTTCTTGTTTTATTGGAATCAAAGATATGGAAGGAGTTATAATTTGTTCTCCTTCTCCAGTGCTTGTAAATAAAAGTTAAAGAACATGCTTAGTTTTTTTGATGATTATAGTACAAAATAAAATAGATGTAATATAAAAAAAGTAACCATAATATAAAAAAAAAAATAATAATAATAATAATGATAATAATAAAAGTTAAAAAGACAAGTGTTCCTTTATGATTACCTGTAACTACTCGAATTGTTAACAGGCAATTGATGATGACTACTGGTTGGTGCATTACTATTGCTGTCAGCACTCTGTGGACTATTTGGACAATCACCATTTAATGGTGTAGGGCTGACGTTAAGCACTGTGCCAATTTCTTCTGGATATGGAATAGAGATTTCGACGTGAGGTGTGAGAAAATGCATAGGAGGTGTTGCATTGTCAATCGAACGATTTCCAGTGCTATCACCACTGTCTGATAAGGGTGCAGAAGACATGGCCTCGCTAGCTGCACAGCTGTTCAAAATTGAATTTGAGCTATTTGGGCCAGGATTGTCCAAATCTATACCGTGTCTATGCACATAATATACATATATACATAGCAATTGATTAACTTTAGTTATTGTAAAATAATTATTGATAAGCTGAAAAATTGTAATGCTTATTTAAAAAAAAAAATTAATAAATAAAACTAACCGGTTAAAGAAGTGAAGTCTGAGACATTTCATTGTAGAAGCTCTGTAATGACACAAGGGACATGATTTAACCATATCGTGTTGACCAACGTGTTCATTTTGAAAGTGGGCTCTCATGGCAATTTGACGTTGAAATCCTCTATTACAAATGGGGCAATGATAAGGCAATGTTTTCGAATGCGTTGTAAAGTGTTCAGCCAAATGATCTTTTCTGAAAAACCTTTTCTGACATACACGACATTCGTACGGTTTTACACCTGTGTGTCTCATCTGCAATGATAAAAAATTTTTTTTAATCCTTGTATTTCTGCTTTAAATGTTTTCAACGATTTTGTGCACGTAAAAATTTATTTTCGTTTCAATATATTTTAATACCTTGTGCCTTCTCATATTAGCACCATTTGAAAATTTCATGTTGCAAACATCGCATTCAAACATTTTTCTATGAGATCTATGTCCTGTATGTCCTTCATCTCCTTCAGCATAATTTTCAGGCGCATCTAATCCTTCGGCGCTCTCTATCGTTTCTCCACCAACCATACACTGGTCTTGATGTGCACTCAGAGCAGTTTTATTGATGGTTTCGTAACTGTCACATCGTTCACACCTGTTGAAATAATTATGTTATTGAACGACAGATGTAAGGCCAACTTATTCTGATAATTAATTTAATCATACCTGAATATAGGTACAGCTCCATCGCTACTGTCATAGTTGGTATTTAAGGCAGCTTCGTTATCTGGATCTTCATCTTCTCTTTGATTAACCGAGTCACTAGGTTCTGCAAGGGCAGAGGAATGAGAGTCCACCTCATTTTCCCCTCCACCAGCATCAGACATGATACTGGTTGATACAATTACTATCTAAAATTCCTCATGTAAACTAAAAAAATAAAAATCAGCATTTGTTTACCTGATGATGATTAATTTTCATAAAAGGCAAAAAAATCTTATCAACATTTAAAGTTTCTGCGATGTTAAATCGATTGTGTAAACAAGGATGGTGTGATGAGTAAATTTTTTTTAAATATTATGCATAGTAAAAATAAAACGAAAAGAATCATCATAGGTGTATGTACAACACACTGCAATGTAACTTTAAAACACCTCATGCAAACTGAATAGACGAAAAAAAAAAGAAAAAATTAAGAATGCGCCGATAACGTACCAATGTGCAAAACTTAAATAGGTACTTACTACAACTACATACAAGATTTACATTAACAAAATACACACACAACAATTATCTCATTGAGGTAAACAAGATGCAGATGGATTATATTGTAATTATTGAGGCCAACGATTCGTATAGCTAAGTTGTAACTGTACTTAATAAATATTTAAATGCAACAAGAAAGGAGATGTTACGAAATATAAAATGAGTAAGTATGTTTGGGCGTACTTGGTGTGAATTACCTACATGGCTGCATGATTTCACGCAACGAACCAAATGTATGTATTCATATGTATAGCTACTTGATGGAGGTATAAACTATAACTTGTAATCAAGTACCACTTATGGTATACGTTTACTTATACGCGTAGACTCAAAATCGAAGAGACAAATGAGGCAATGAATAGAAGAAAAGTAGAACAGCCCACAGCATCAGCACATCAGCAGACTAGCAGACACATTTGTTGCAACAACGACATATATATAAGCTATGCACTATATATGTATATACGTACACTGTCAACTGCAGTGTACAAATCTACTATAGCACACATGTGTACAAATCTACTATATGTAGTGTGTACCTATAGATGTAGGTACTACATACAACAAATGGCATTTATGGCATATGTGTGTCGATGTAGATATATGTATAAAAGTACGTAGAACTTTACGGACGGACTCGGAGGAGTCGGAGTTCGGAGTGTCGGACTCTGTCTGTTAGCGTCTATATTAGCTACTCGGACGGACTCGCGTGCGCGCACGTTTGTGTGTGTATGACACTTGGCTTTGGGGTCGTCTGTACGTCTGTAGTTCTGTAATCTGTACCCAAAACTTGGATTTCCCAAACTTCAATTTGGATTCATGACAAGATTACCTGTGTACTTATACCTAATAATGAAACACCTGATGGCTAGTTAAAATCCCAATTATTGCTTTGCCAATATACCTACTATGTACACATAGTTTTAATATACTGTATATCCAATTATATATCCATGCGTCCATCTATATTGATCTATCCTAAAACTTCTAAATAAAATATGTACACAAACTACACACTCACTCACTTGCTATAGGTATAAGTATGCGTCAATGCCATGCCATCATGCCATGACAATTAAAAGGCATTGTGTATCCATGCTATATAGGTATAGTGTATCTATGCTCACTGCACTGCAGTGTACCCATGGGTACCTACCCACTATACTTGCAAGTAGTAAGTAGCGTTTCCACGCGACAATACGGCGGGAGCGCGAATGAATTGTTGTCCGCGGGGACAACAGGGGTTTGGGGGAGAGCGGGAGAGTCGCCTGTGGGTTGCACAGCAGGAGTATAAAGAAGAGCGCATACTCATAATGCCAGAGTGCAGTGCACTTTGTCCCAGTTTTCAGCAAAGTAGGCTTGCTGCTTAGGTACTTGCTTCTTATAAGATATAGGTGTATAGCAGGGAGTTATTTGTACAGATATATATATTTTACAAGCCCTGTATGTATAAAACAGCAGCAGAGGGGAAAATTCGACACATCATCTCCTAGTAATTGTCGCACAAGATAAATTGATTTCTTAATTTGAACCCATCACATGGATAGAAAATTAATAAGCGCGAATAAATATTATACATGTAGGTACAATCCAGCTATCTGTATTGTTATACCACTGCAGATAAGGCTGATTGAAAAATAAGTACATCGTTTGTATCAAATATTATATCCTTGTTCTGATAACACAAGTATTCTTCTTTTTTGTCTCGGGAATAGTTTCAAAAAGCGGCTTCATTGATGAATAATTTGTCTGTTTGTTAGTCCATTAATTTTTATTGTAGTAAATAGGTGCAGGCAATTCAGAAAAAGAGAAAGACTTGAAATCCAACGAATGACGGGTTAAAGTCTCGCTCGATCTCTGAGTCTGTATAATATATCATACTTATGACAATTTTACGAATATGACAATAAAATTTGGCGCAAATGAGTTTGGATGCTCGTTAGTGACTCTCAACATATTTTTTGGACATTGGAGTTTGGAATCGTTCCGTATAGGTATAGGGCTACAACCACTGCGTCGATTGATTCAATCTTGTGACATCAATGCACACTTGTTTGATTTTCTTGCTAAGTATTTCTAATCATATTTTGCGTTTTGCGTAAATCTCTCATGCAAAAACGTTCCATTTTTCAAATCATCCGACTGTCCCGCCATACTTAAGTATACGGGTATGCTCAAAGTTCAAGATTCAAGACCGACTGAACCGAAACGAACGAACTGAACCAAAAGTAATTGCAATAAACGAATAAACCTATAGTGGAGAGCATTTTCCCGCGTAAAAACTCAGTTAAAGTTAGTTACCTACGTTCGTTTTGGTTTTGAATTCCAACCTATATGTACATATAAGCCGGTAATCTGCATTGTACTTAAGTACAACGCTTGGCATCTTGGCCCTTTATCGCGTTAGTAATACTTGACTAATGTCAATTTCTAATGTTTTTTTTGAATGATAAGCGGGCACACTTTTTTCGTCTCGTTACTACAGTAACTGAATCTCAAATAGTGTCGTGCAGGTTGTAACTAAGGTATCAAAAGACAATCATCAAAAATGGATAATTTTGATGCTGATCAAAAGTCCAAGGACTTGGAAAAGGAGTATCTTGATTTCTTAGATGACCAGGTAAAAAACTGTTAAAAATTTGTTATTTATGAAAAATTAACCTGCGATTACATGAATGGATGTTTTTTCATGTGTCAACTCTAGGAAGATCAAGGTATATACACAAATCTAGTGAAAAATATGATTGAGGAGAAAAAATATCGCTTGATTGTAAATGTTAATGACTTAAGAAGAAAAAACCCAGCTCGCGCTACAGAGTGAGTATTTATTACTAATAATCAACAGGTACTCTATTATCTCGTTTAGTTACATTTTTATGTGTACTTTGCAGTTTATTGAACAACTCTTTCGAAGAAATAGTGCCCTTTCAAAGAGCATTGAAACTATTTGTATCAAGCATCGAGCCAGACTATGCTAAGGGACAGGTAGAATTTTTTATAGGCCTTGAGGGTAGCTTTGGCAATAAACATACTACACCTAGGACACTAACTTCAAGATTCTTAGGTAACATAGTGTGCGTCGAGGGAATTGTTGTTACATGTAAGTACAAATTAGGCTTGTTACTTTACCAAAACTATTTATCAAAATTGTATGCTGTATTTTGAAAAATTATTTTGTAATTACTGTTTTATACTGTTTGAACTTAAGTACTTATAGAATTTTTAATTATATACCTTAATAAATAAGGCTCCATGCTTTCACCAATATTTAATGGATTTAACGTTGTATAATCTACCCTTGTAATTATATTTTTATTTTTAAGGTTCACTTGTTAAAGTTAAAGTGTTGAGGAGTGTTCACTATTGCAGTGCAACAAAAAGTACTGTTGAAAGAGCATACAGCGATTTAACTTCTTTTGATGCATTTCCTGCCTCAAGTGTGTATCCTACTCAGGTAAAAAATTTTACGAATAAACCATTCTCACTTTTAAATAATAATAATAAAAGTGAATAACAGTCTTGAGAACAAAATATATTTGTATGTTGTGTTTTTTGAATAACTGGTCACTATGGAATGATGATGATTTTCAGGATGAAGATGGAAATCCACTAGAAACAGAATACGGCATATCAACTTACAGAGATCACCAAACCATTTCTATTCAAGAGATGCCAGAAAAAGCTCCAGCAGGACAATTGCCTCGCAGCGTTGATGTTATTTGTGACGATGATTTAGTTGATCAGTGTAAGCCAGGTGATCGTGTTCAAATTATTGGAAATTATCGCTGTCTTCCAGGCAAAAAAGGAGGCTACACTACGGGCGCTTTCAGGTGAGTATTTTTTTATGTCCTGGCAACGACAATTTTGACGATACTGATATAATTTAATTATATTGACAGGACTATTTTGATAGCTAACAACATTTCTCAACTGAGCAAAGAGTCAACGTTGAGTATTTCACACGATGATGTGACAATGTGTAAAAAGTTTGCCAAAAATAATCCACAGAAAAATATTTTTGAACTTTTGAGCAAATCTCTTGCTCCTTCTATTCATGGTCACGAATATGTCAAAAAAGCAATATTGTGTCTATTATTGGGTGGCAACGAAAAGATTCTTGCGAACGGTACCAGACTAAGAGGGTATGTATCATTCAAATTCAAATTTTTTTTTTTTTTTCGTACAAATTAAAAATGGAGTTGATTATTTATTGTATTACTTGGTTGTGACTTTAACAACAAAGCTTTAAAGAATTGTTTTTCGATTTATGTGGGGGCTCAAATTTTTGGTTTTTCTCATCAGGGACATAAATGTTTTGTTGATCGGGGACCCGTCCGTAGCAAAATCACAGTTGCTGCGCTACGTGCTAAACATCGCGCCTCGTGCTATAACGACCACTGGTCGTGGTTCATCTGGGGTTGGCCTGACAGCTGCCGTGACAGCGGACACAGAGACTGGAGAACGCAGACTGGAAGCTGGTGCCATGGTGCTGGCCGATCGAGGTGTCATTTGCATTGACGAGTTTGATAAGATGTCGGATATCGACAGGACAGCCATACACGAGGTCATGGAACAAGGCAAAGTCACCATTGCCAAAGCAGGCATTCAAGCTAGTTTGAATGCACGGTGTTCTGTACTAGCAGCTGCCAATCCCGTTTATGGCCGAGTAAGTTTTTGTACATTCGCATTGGCTTTTCGTGAGATTACAAATTATGCTAATTTTAATTTCAATAAATTAAATTGAAATACGTGTCAAGTAAATACGAAGACTCTTCACAAGCGTAAGTCATAGGTACAGAAAATCTTTAACTGTGGGAATACGTAATTCATTGTTCTTATTACGAATAACTTGGAAATTACATATAAAAGAGATACTACGAAATAACAATTGAAAATACGTCTAGTTTTTCGTTATTAATATAGTTTGTTCAGAAACCACATTGAATACATATTTTTGTATTTTTTTATTTCAGTATAACCAATACAAATCTCCAATGGAAAATATTGGTCTACAAGATTCGCTTCTCTCACGTTTCGATCTACTATTTGTCATGCTGGACACCATAGACGCAGAGACTGACCATATAATCGGCGACCACGTCGTTAGGATGCACAGATATCGAAATCCATCGGAGCAAGAAGGCGAAGTTTTGCCTTTTAATACTGGATTAGATTTCTTAAGTACAAGAAATCCCGATGCCGACGAAATGCAAGAAGAAGAAACCCAAATTTTTGAAACATACGATTCTCTTTTGCATGGTCTGTCGCGTAAAAAAAGGTGCCGGAATATTGCCAGCAAACATGTATTTTATACTCAAAATCAGCAGTAGGCACCAATCTAATCGATACCGATGTGTACTTGTACTTTTTCAGCGATCAAATACTCACGATCAACTTTATGAGAAAATACATACACATTGCTAAGTGCATGAAGCCTAAGTTAACCGAAGAGGCTCGAGAGTGTATTGCCGATGAATATGCGCGTCTTAGGTCGCAAGAAAATTTAGATTCCGACGTGGCTAGGGTAAACCTATTCTCGTAATTTTCTATTTTTCTTGATTCGTTGGTTTTTTAAAATAATGTGAAAGAGTTTTTCCAGACGCAACCAGTAACTGCACGCGCATTGGAAACGTTGATTCGCTTGTCAACAGCTCACGCGAAAGCTCGTCTCTCAAAGTCTGTTATGATGGAAGATGCTCAAGCGGCCATTGAATTAGTGCAGTACGCATATTTCAAGCGAGTCTTGGAGAGAGAAAAAAAGAAACGACGAAGGAAAGACAGTGATGTTGACACCGATGAAGATAATATTGAAGATGAGGTTGAGGTAAGAAAGAGCAAGCGTACGAAGGTAGTTAGTACCTCACAAGATGAACAGGGCGACGATCCTTTCGCTTATGTTGAAGATGAGAGCATTCACGGAGATATCCCAAGTCTTCGTGAAATTTCTGAAGAGAGGTCAGTTTTATTTTATTTTTACAAAATATTTGCATACGATACTGTCATACATGTCTCCAAAAAAAAAAATTTCATTTTATTGCAGACTTCAAGTATTTAGAAAATTCCTGTCTGAACTGTTCAAAAGTAAGAATTCGGATAATTTGCCGAAACAGCTGGTCTTTGATGAAATCAGTAAACAAAAAGTCACTCCTTTCACGGTCAGGGAAGTTAAATTAATCCTTCAAAAAATGACTGATGAAAACCAAATTATGATCACCGATGATGATGGTATGATCCAGTTAATTTAAATTACCTAATCAATACGGCAACGAAAACATGTTCGCATATAAAGTCTTGAATTTTTTAATTTTGTACAATTACTGCAAGCTATATAAATAAATTTGTTAAATGTATTTATATCAACCAATAGAAGTAATCTCTGTTTTTTCTTATATTTTGAAATGGGCTTAATAATTGAACATATCCATTCGATTTATTGTATCAATTTATTTACAATAATTTTTAAATATTCTAAATCGTTACCACAATAATGGTGATAATAAATATAACGACGACATAAGTAACAATAACATAATAACGTTTCTCGTAACCGTATAGGTACTACAATGATTCGTCACTAGAATCTGTGTTATAGTTCAACTGTTCACGCCACCAATCACGAACCTCATTAATCGCACTTGTCATCTTGTTGGGCGGGGACACTCTTGCACCAAAAGTTTCCTTCCCAAACGTTCGTAAATACTCGCTTCTTTCCGTCACGTACGGTAAATTGTTTTTGACAGCCACAGCTGAAACCACAGAGCCTGTGTTATTGGTCAACCTGATTTGAATTTACCTCTATAATAATGTATAACTCACGGGCAGGCCTGTTACTTCTCTTTTTTGAGGCTGTAATTTTTTCCTTTTCAATCCTCACAGAAGTTGCTGGATCCGACAAAGTTGGGGCAAGAAATTTTCTACCCGAACCGCTGCCAATGCTGTCGGATCTGGGCAGACCCACTGGTTTTTTACCCCTGTGTCGTAACCCTTCTGCATCCTAAAAAAAAAAAAAAAAAAAAATTGCCACGATTGTTACGTGTTTGCAACAAGTTTTATCATCTTAATGTTTTTTTAATCGACACATGTATGTATAATGAATTACTTTCGCTTCAGCTGGGTCATCTTTTTCAACCACTGGTTCTTTCTTCTCTTCTACGTGCTCTTGTAACGTCGTGCTGGCCACCACTTCGTTCGTTGCTCTAAGTCCAGCGATAAGGCTGTTCTGTTGTTTCTAAAATCCGTTTGTTATAATATTTAACAAAAACATGATATAATGACCTATTTCTTTTGAAAGAGTAAAAAAATGGGAAATAGTAACTCACACCCACGGCCCTTATTTTTTTCAAGCAACCTTCGAGCCAAGTCCGGATCGTTTGTTTTGCCACTTCCTCTTCGATTATGTATTCGAATTCTTCTCTGGCAAGCAGCTCCTCCAGTTGTAAAGCTTTTCTTATATCCACCGATCGATAGGACAACATACTTTGCAACAGAAAATCAACCGAACAAAATATCGTCATTACAAGCGACAATATAGGATATTAAAGAACCAAGTGAAGAAAAATTATACAATTACTTGATGACATCATGAAACGTAACATCTTCCCCATTGTGCAATCTCTCGAGCTCGTAACACATGTACTTGAAGAGCAGTCTATCTTTCTGGGGATCAGTTTCCAGTCGGCCTTTTAAAAGCCTCAAAATGAATTTCACCTGCGAAACGATCACCCACGCGCTTTCATTTTTTTTTTTTTACTTTTGTTTTTATTCGATAGAATAATGATTATAATAATAGTAAGAATCGTTATAGAAAATTAAAGAAAGCTCACCCTCCGCACTGGTATAACTCCTCTTTGGTGTATGTCCACAATATTCCAGGTATTTTGAAAATTCCTGATATCCGCGTATGATAACAAAGCATCCTCTTCGTTTGAATAAAAAAGTGAAAAGTTTTCCATGATGATGGCTAAAGGAGATAAAGCCAAAGAGGGTAGAAGAAATTTAGAGAAAAAGTTTTTCTCGATCATGTGATTGCATGTACTACACATGTATTTACTTAAACGTCAATCTTACCCACTAGGAGATTGAGAACTATGTAGGTGATGATGACGTAAAAGGTGCAGAAATAAATCAAGGATGCGTGAAAATTGCCACAATCCGTTTCCCAATAATTGGCTGCCGGTGTACAGTAGGGAGGTTGAACCATACAATCGTGCATTATTTTATTCCAGTCTTCGCCCGTGACTATTCTAAACAGCATAGCTACCCCCGTCACTGGTGATTCAAAGTTGGCACGCCTTCAATCATAGAAAATAGTTGTAGACATAGCGAGCGCAAAAAAGACGGTTTTTCGCACGAGTTGCGTACACAAGTGTAATTTTATAATGAGTGTGTGGAAAATTGGCACTTTTGGCCCTGTTTTTAGTGCAGCGTAAATTTTGATTTTCCACGCGCACTGTGCACGAATTGTCCGCTCTATGTTATAAACAAAATTAAACAAAGCAAGTATACGTGATTCGATACGTGGGTAATCAGTTTTGCACGATTCAAAGAAGAAGAAGAAAAAGAAAAATCTCAAGTAAGTACCTTCCGATGCCTTCGCCGTACTTGACTGTTCCGAATATGATGGTGCCGGCCAAGGCGTAGAAAAATACGAGAAGGAACATTCCAAATATGATAAAAAAGCTCTTGCAGACGGAAACTCCGACAGTCAGCATAAGCATCTTCAAAGTCGTGTGTTTGCCAGTGATGGTGAAAAATCTCAGGATCACCACCATGAAACCAATGACGTAGGACAAGTCGTTCTGTGAATAGAAGTGTATATCGCAATAAGTACACATGTGTTGTAAAATTATCGCAGGTGAACAATGATGTTATATACAACAATACCTTCATCGTTCCGTGTATTACTATCCATGTAACCCCGACGACCGTGACCAAAAGATCGTAACGATTTCTTCTCGACTGCCAGTAACCTCGAGGCGTAAAGGCAATGTTTTTCATGATTACTTCAACGAGAAATATGAGCGTTAAAATGGCCGATACTGTAGCCAAGGGCTCCGTGTGCTCTTCCTCGATTCTCCACTGTAAATCGTAAGATTATGCTTGATTAATTCATAAGCAGTTCTCAATTGAAATAATGATAAATTAAGGTAACCCGATGGCTTACCGAAACGCAGAGCAAAGCACTATTTATGAGTACCATCACTGCTATGAAACGCTTGAAGTAAATGTTTTGCGTTATATCGTAGATGTAAGCTCGAAATTTTTTGCCATCAGGTCGTGGTGGCAAATGCAGCGGTTGAGCGATTTTCAGTCTTTTCTTCAGGTCACACCTGCAACATTCATACGAGATTAAATTATAATTAATATGATACTGAATGGTAAGCATTGTAAAAAAAAATTATTTCATATTTTGTATCAAATGATAAAGGGATGTATATATTTATGTGTGCTTACCATCGTCTTTGATCGACCGTGAGAAGCGCGGTACCCTTGTTTTCGGAATAATTGGCAATGACCACGCCAACGAATAGCGTGAGGCCAATCATGCAGCCGAGAAATATGTAGATATGGATGTAAATGGCGTGCACCTGAAATTATGCGCACCTTATATGTATATTATAATTCAATCATCGATTATACATATGTATTACTTTACGGGCTTTATAGGCTTGTTATATACTTACGGGGCCAAGAGCTTTGATGAGTACGTCTCTCACGTCGAGCCAGCCCTTGAACGAGAGCACTTCGAACAGAGCTAAAATCGCATCCCCTATATTGTCAAAGTTGAAGCGCTTTGGATTAGCCCTGTAAAAAAAAAAAGTAATAAGAAATCTGCAATTTGCCCTGAATTTATAATTTACCATGTAATAATCTTTTTCGGTTGACGTTTTTAAATAACGTCGCACTGATACGGTACCAAGTAAAAAAANATTTAATGTAATTTGTCATAATGTTTTTTATATTATAAATATTGTAAATTGTACAGTTCCCTGAAGAGGGAGTCAGGATGACTCCGAAATATTGGATCACATTGTCCAACTAATATATGAAATAAATAGCCATGCTCCAAGATTCCAAGTTTTTTCATTTAAATTTCCTTAATTATGGCAAAGGAGCAAGAAGACAGTAGTTTTATTATCAAATTTATAAAATGTTAATATTGTTTTTGTATGGTGTTGTATAATAGGTCATAGATTAGTTGGAAATGTTATAAAATCTGCGCGAAGCAATACAATAAATTTTGTAAAAATGAATGACACATCCGATGCAGTAAGAAGTTGTAGCTGATTGAGGAAATTCGTGATACAAAGCCATCCCGATGTATAGTGGATAAATTAATCATTCAAACATTTGGAGGGGTTCAAAGAATGGGGTTGCTCTTTGAAAAAGCCAAATGAAACGTAAAGTAGATGCATGCGGATAAAATCCACAGTAGTTACTGACCAGACGCGGGGCACGAGTATCGACGGATAACTCTCGTTTTGGCCAGCGAGGAGCTTCATCTTGGTGACAAAGACTCGGCGCATAAAGACCCCGACGCATTCCTCTCGCTTGGTGATGGTCGGGTCGTTGCAGCGCGCCAGTCTGCCCCCGTACAGCTGCACCCCGTAGCTCGCAAAGACGAACATGAGCAGGATCAGGAGAATCGAGACGAGGAGGATCTCCTTGAAGCCGCGGCAGAGCTCGTACACGACTTTGCGCATGTGGGGCACGAGCGTGAATATACGCAGCGGCCGAACACAGCGCAGTATCATCAGGAGCTGTGCCCCCGAGTTTGGAGCCACGCTTCGCGGCATCCAGCAAAGGAATACGAGGCTCACCTGTAGAGGAAAGAAAAAGGCACTGTATCGTCTCTGATTTACATACGTACATGCATCAGCGGTTAAATCGTAGATATTGCATGCCCACCACGTAGATGAATACATCTAGTATCGAAGCGACGTCCTTGATGTAGGCCTTTGGCGTGAAAAATAGGCCGTCCGCCAGGATTTTCAGCGCCAATTCGATGCTCATGAAAATGACAAAGCCGTACTCCGCTATCTGCAAGGCCGGAATTTCCATCACGCGGAATCTCGGGGTCTCGAACATCATAGAAATGCAAGAGAGGGTGGTCGCGAGGATCATCACCCAGTCCAAGTAGGTCACGAGTCCCAAGAAATTGCTGATGGAGGATTCAACGATAGATTAAACCTCAAGGTGAAATAATAACAATAAATAATAATGATGTTGATGCTGTTGCACTCACTGGAGGCTCTTGTATTGAACTTTTCTCTCCTTTCCCGTGAGTGGATCCTTCAATCTCGCGTCGTACCTCGCGTAGACGAGCAATTGGCAAATTTTACGGAACTTGCTCTCCCTCGGCACCACAAAGAGCGGCGTGTCAAAGAACGGATGATTTTCCCGTAAATCTTCTTCGCGCTGGTTTCTGCAGCATAATCAGTCGTAGTACTGTTAATACGTAATATAAATATACATGTAGGCACATCTACAATCATTTGGAGGTACTGACGCGAGGAAAGATCAATCGTATGGATAGTTGTGAAGAAAATAATGGTCGTAAAGAGTATGTATATTGTTGTTGTTATTGTTGTACCTTCGCATTTCGGCTTGCTGTCTTTTCGCTTGTAAAAGCTTGATGTCCAAATCGTGGGGTCTGCTGCGGGACGAGGTCATGCGGTTGATGGCCCCAACGTCACCGTTTTCCACCAAGTGTTCGTAGGTCTGCTTCAACTTTATCGAGCCACTTCTGACGCTCCTTCGTATCGACCTGTTTACCGACAAGTCATTTCAAAAGGTGGCATTTCACAAGTTGACGTTTCATCGCGACACTTACTTTTTTTGGTCTATTCGCAGTTGCTTCGCACTGTTGACCGTCCCTTGTGATTTCATTAGGCTTTTCGCAGGAACTGGTATCATTGCAGAGTCACCGAGCAATAGACGTTGATTGTTTGAATCGCTACAATTGCAGTCGATCATCATCATCATCATCATCATCAGGTGGCAGATTTTAAAGAAATCATATACATTTAATTCGGTCTTTTCTTTTTTCTTTAAACATCCATCGTTTTAATTATTCAATCATGATAATCAAACATAGTTATTACTTGATTATGTACGCAATAGCGGCTTTTTTATAGCTCGTTTCGACAGTCCTAACTTTTGGATGGTTATTCAAAATGTGAACCGGTCGCTGCTTGCGGTACACGATTTTCGAGTCGAAAGTTTCGTTGACTCTTTTCGAGCCTTCGTTCTCTTCGTCCTCGAGTTCGTACACAAATTGTCTCATAAAGCTCTCTCGCACCTGGAAAAACCACGCTCGCTCAAGACAATGCCCTTATATCTTTCTCACGAGTTAATTTTTTTCTTCGATTTACACTCACTTTCGGAAGGTTGAAATCCGACGGCACTTTGTGCAAGGTAGTCATCTGCGGGCTGTCGGGGAACTTCTCGAAAATCCTCAGTCTAAACGGCAGCGTCTCCTTTATTTCGGCACTTTGCTCGCGGAACTTGAGCTGCTTCAATTTCTTGATGTCCTCGTCCAGTTCAAGATTATCCAATATAACCGCGACGAAGAGACTCAACACGATCTAGAACCACATTTTTACCGCATTAATACATATGTAAAAAAAAATGTAGTTATAAATTAAACGATTGAGAGATGAAATCACCAGTGTCACGAAAAGGTGATAAAGTATAAAGTAAACGGCGACGAGAGGAGCGATGGACTCGTGAGTTCTGACCATTGTTTCATCCATGACCTCGACCCACGCTTCTTGAGTCAAGATTTGGAACATGGACATGAAGGCCTGAAAGACCCGAATCGTCATTATCACGAAGTACACACCATACGCATGATTATATATATATATATATAAAAATATTATTGTATATCAATAGTGCGTCACATACGACGTACAGTTATTGTTAAACGTTATTGTACCTCGGGAAACGTTTCAAACTTCGTGTAGTCACACAAGAAGCAAAATAGTTGCATGGAAATACTCGACGATATGACGAGGAGGCACATGGTGAAGATGATGAGGCTGCCGAGTTTTTTGCCAGGACCGAAAATCTTGTAGACAAAGTCCTCGAGCATGGGCGAGGCCTTGATCAGCCTTACGATTCGAAGTACCTGCGTGCGAGCATCGACACAAAAATGTGTGTGGGAAATGAAAAAAAAAAAAATTTAACGCGTATATAATATATACGTATTATAAAAACTTGTGGGTATGTTACTTGAAAGTAGGTGAAACCCGAGAGGTAGAAAAACGGTATGATGTGGATGGTCGTGCCAACGGCGAGCAGCAGCTCAAACTTGTGTATCGAGTGCTTGTAGTAGCTGTGGAAACCGAGACAGCAGATTTTGAAGGCAGTCTCGAGATCGAGCAACACGGTGAAGACGATCTCGGCGTAGTAGTAGCGCTCGTAGAAGGCGTGCCTGGGCCGCTCGTCGTGCTTGAAGTTCATCGTGGCCGTGGTTATGCCGTTGGCCAGTATGGCGCACATGACGACCATGCGGAACTGGGGCGAGCGGAGTATGGCCTGGCAAAGGGGCGAGCCGGCCAGGCCCCCGAGGTGCTTGTTCTCGTCGAGGGTCACGAGTTTCCAGCCGTGCTCGTCGTCGCCGGTCAACACCTGCGAGGCCGTGTTGTTGCTGCTCATCGTGCCCCGGACGCCCCACATCTGCTGGAACTGCACCCGGATTTCGTTGAACGTTTCCGTTATCACGGCGATGAAGACGTTCTTGACGAGCCACGCCAGGAAAAATATCATCGTGCTGAAGTACAGGATGGGCCTCCAAGCGGGCAGGCTATCGATCGCCCGGTACATTATGAACACCCAGCCCTCCTGCGAGGCGGCCTGGTAAACCGTGAATATGCTCGTAGCTGCGTCACACGCGTTTTTTTATTTTTTATTATATTATATTTTTGCATTGCCATTGCAATCGTAAGTACAACACGATAAAAAAAAAAAAAAAAAAAAAAAAAAAAAAACCAACCAAACTCGTCGAAGCCGTTGAATCCCATGATGTACTTGGAAAGCTCGAGTTTGAGGCACTTCATGCCCTTGGGGCATTGGTAGCCGGATTCGGGATCGGTCGAGCAGAACGTATCGGGTATCGCGAGGCTGTTTATGGTGATGTGTCGGGGATCTGTCGAGTTCAACACGCAATGATTCGTCAGTTCCCCGAAAAATTGGACCCCGAGTAGTCCGTACAACGACATGAAGAACAGAAAAAACAGCGTCACGTTGTATATTTGCTGACTCGACCGCCTATTAACAACAACAACGCAACAATGAAAACCTCATTTTTCTCATTTGCGGTACAATATTTCATCCACGAGACAATTTTTTTGGTAGACTTGTTTAGCGAATGATAAATTAATTATACGTGAAAATTACCTTGATTATAAAAATATGATCTGAATTTATACATCTGTCCTGAAAAGGCAATATAAAATGCTCTCATCCGTCGCAAGTCTACGGCAAATCTCTTGTTTCGCGTAAACCATTCATGAGACAAAATAGGTATATTATTGTTATTGAATCTTACTTGAAAATTTGATTGATCCTGGCCTTGGGCATGGAAAATTTTAAAAAAACCCGCAGAAAGCGAATCATGATCAAGGGACGTGGAGCTCGTAGGATAGAAGTGTAGCTGTACCGCATAACGAGTTCCAGCATCTCAAACATTTGAAGGATCACCGACAACCAAAGAAAGAATACCATACTCGCATCAAATTGGCACCAATGGTCCTTCAGGTAGGACTGTTTGCTCTGAAAATTGCGACAATACTCAATCCTCAGTGTACATTGGCCATTTTTTTTTTCTACATTGTATATAATACTTGCTACTTATTATATAAATGCATACGCATGTATTTATACAATATTAAAATACTATACTTAAAGGTAAATATTTATTTATAGTAATATAAGACGTCCAATGACAGTTGGTTAATAATTTATTTATAGTGTAATTATATACCTTGAGAATACCCCTAATGTGCATTTTGGCAATCATCTCGGCAGTGAATAGAAACGTGACGATTAGGTCGCAGGTAAAGGTAACATACTGAAGTATCGGCACCTTTTCAAAAGTCTTGGGCGTGTTGAGGCAAACCGAAGCCAAAGAGACTAACGCGCAAAGTCTCATCAACCGCCTAACCCATAGCTGAAAAATATAGGTTTTACATTATTTTACGTTTTTTTTTTAAGAGTAAGCACATATACTCCACGATCCTTTATTATTTTTTCCTGGCCATTTACTGATTTCAGTATACTAACGATATATTATATCAGTGCTAGTGCAGTGCGTGAGTATTGTGAGCGCGAAATACTTATGCCTTGAATATTCGTACTCACCTTGTTAACCCATTCAATGTCTGTACTCTCATTGAGGCATTCTTCTGGACCATAATCAGCTAAAACCGGGTCTCCCTTGAGACTCTGCTTCCTTCCTAGCATTATAATAGGAAGTATATTGGCAATGGAAACGCCTAGAGAATAATAAAAAAATTTACACGTATACACCGCTATCATTATTATCATTATTATTATTATTATTATTATTATTATTATTATTACTACTATACTGTTGCTCGAGAGCTTTTTCGAGTAATGGGTATGCCCTACAGAAGTGCCTTTTATTTTGGAAATATTGGAAGAAAGAGGAATCACTCAAAAACCTGTTACTTATTTGTAAAAAAATAAACATAATTTTATCGTAATATCATGTTTGAGATTGGTACGAAATACAAGTAGTTTACGTTACATGATTATACTACGTTAATTTGTTGGGTGACTAATTTCTTGTACAAAAAACTGATGGTTGTCAATCGAGGAGATTTTATTGAAGCGAAAAAAATTGCCCACTTTTTGACCATACCGGTTTCTAAAAGAAAAATTTATTTTTTATTAACTGTAATTTTTAGAATTCGCCTTCTAAATGCAAGTATTTTTTGAGCGAAAATAATAATTAATCATTTTCTCTACAAAGTCACATCAATTTTTCAAGATAATCGAGATGAAAAAATAGATTTTTTATTCGTAAGAGTTATAAGTTGACGACAAAATGTTGTAGATGAAAAAAAAAATTTATCCTTTTTAAAATTTTTCACGATGAATCGCAGATACTCCGAAATGTACAAAAAATTATGAGCTAACAAAAATGTTTTTATTACCAATTACCGGAAAAAATTCACATTAAACGACAAAATTTTTAACGCGAAAATACTAGATCTCAAACCAATGTTACGAACGTAATGACTTATCCCAGCGCTTGAAACGATGGGAAACGTTTTAGTTGACAAATACAAAGAAAAAAAAACTTGTATTGTACTGAAATTTTTTGTTCTAGTAAAAATCACGGTGACAGTCGTGTTCCGTATGTAAAAGCGGTCTTTTTTATAAACTGAATCACTCATTTATTAATAAATACAATGATAGTAATTAATGTTGCTCAAAAAAGGAATTATAAAATAAAATAGGTACCGATAGCCTGTACACGAGTTTTGTTTCATTAAAATTATAAGCAGGTATAAGACGAGCGCAAATCATAAGCAAAATAATTTATTGATTATGTACATTGAAAAAATAAAAAGGATCAAATGACAACAAAATTAGGAAGCACAGAACAAATGTGACACATCTAGTACTATACAGCAAATGGACCGCGAGGGTTGTACGTACGGGTTGTAGATTCAAGCATCCGTAAAAATTAGAGTGCACGTATGCAGCCAGAAATTGATTGATGCCGTTTTTTTCTTTTTTTCAGATTCCTCGAGCGTTTGGTAGAGTTCATTTGTGCGATGATCCGCCGACGTTTACGAGATGACTGATCAGTGTACTCGGCGGCAGCATCCCCTCGTCTGTTGCAGTGCGCACTCGCGCAGGTATGTACAGCTTACCCCGTTATACATATATGAAAAACTTACCCCTTACTACTTGACATCAGCACCATCGTTATCTCTACCACCCTGCTACTGGCATCTCGCTTGCGTTTTCTCTCCCCTCACTCGACCCTTTAATCGTACCAACTAGAGTGGTGCGCAATTTTCGTTTTCATTAACACGCATATCATTTTTAATCTTTTTCTCCGATCTTTGCAACAGTCTGGAACTCTTTACCCACTCTGTTCCTAATGGCTCTTGAACGTTGAATGGGTTGGCATTGCTTGACCTACTTTGCAAACGTCGATGTAGAAGTTGGCGAATCCGAGTATTCAACGACGAATTCTTTTTGACTGTTCGTCAGTGTTCATGCTCGGTGCAGTGCTTCCGTTAAAAACATTACTTACTTTCTCTCCAGTTTTGTAGTTTTACAGTCTCCTTTGCCGAGTTTTAACAACGGATTCTGTTTAGTGTGGTTTAGTTTTATTTTTTTATGTGAAATAATTTAAAAAAGTTTTTAGCTGAAAGTCCATAATTTATTTGTATTATTACATTCTCAGTTCACTAACTTTATCATAGTCCCAAGAAGGTTTTTAAACGGTTTGCAGTATTTGATCAAAGTTATAAGACATCCAAGAGACTACAATTTTTTTTCATAGTACGCACCTAAAAAATGGTCGATTTTGATACAAAAAACTTATCAACAGTTATGAAAAAAATTAAGTATTAGCTTCGCCTACTGCTTTATTTTCTATACTTTTAACTGCTTTTTTTCTTCTTAAATTAAAGGCAAATTATTATACTAATGTTTGCACAGTATAAAAAAGTTATAACATAGGAATACATGTTTTGATATTTCATGAAAACATATTTTGATTATGTTTCATACATAAAGTTCATTATATTATCATTACGATAATGAAGAGTATCAAATTAAGAGCAAGATGACAAAGTAACTGATGATACCAAGAAGATGCTTAAGTCAGAAAATTTGAATGGTCATGGCGCGGTTATTAAAAGCTATTATAATTACTACCACCGAGCTGACTGTTACCATATCCTCGATTGTTCGCCGAATACTGAGGTCTGAAATTGCTTCCCAGTCCTGTAGAACAATAAAAATACATCAAATGATTTTTGGTTTTAAAGCTTTTTAAAAAGTACAATCATCAAACGTTACGTCAATTACCTCCACAAAAGTTTCCGATTCCACCAAGCATACTTCCCCCGGAATTTCCTCCGCCTGGATTGTTACTGGGACCGGGAGAAGAATTTAAAAAAAGTTCGATGTATCTGTGGGACATATGACTTTTGTCCTTGCTCATCGCTTTGACAGCTTCTTCGTGAGATCCAAATTCAACGTCAGCTTCTCCTGACGCTCTGCCTCCATTTTCAAGAATTATTCTTATATTAACTGGTACAATCGGTCTGAAAAACTACGATAATTTTTTTTTTTAGCAATATCGTTACAATGATTTGTAAAAAGTGTGAAAAATGTATGTAAGCTTACGTCTGCTATATCTTGCTCTGTTGCTCTGAAAGGCAGACCTCTCATGTGTACACAGTGCAACCCAATGTTATTGCTGTTCCAATTGTCACTATTCCTGAAATTTCCACTTCCTTTCATTCCCATATCTAGTCCTCTCATTCCTCCACCCATTCCACCGCCCATTCCACCGCCCATTCCTCCACCCATTCCACCGCCCATTCCACCTCCCATTCCGCCGCCCATTCCACCACCCATTCCACCACCCATTCCGCCACCCATTCCGCCACCCATTCCTCCACCCAGTCCTCCACCCATGTTGTTTCCTCGTGATGGGAAATTGTTACTGTTGTTCCATCCAAGATTATTGTCAAAGTCTAAAAAAGAAGCTTTTACAATTGTTATATATTGACTGATTTTTTAAACAAGACGAAAACCAGAGTAAATCTACTAACCTCTGTTTCCACCTCTATTTCCTCTACTGTTATTGTTAAATCTATTAGCTCCACCAAATCTGTTTCCACGATCATATGGAGCTGGTCGTTGATTGAATGCGCTCATCGGACCTCCACGCATCTTTGGTCCAATGCTACCTCTAACTTCTGATAAGCTGCTTCGAAAGATTTCAATATACCTGTTGGTTTTCAAGGAGAAAAAAATCGATGAATTTAGCCATCACCAGCCCTTTACGCCTAGTACAAGAGAACATATTGAGTATATTTATTTGTTTAGTTAGACAGCAATGTTGACAAACGGACAAAATAACAATAATAATAATAATTATTATTATTATTATTATTACATACTTTACAATAGTTACAAATTACAAACAATACAACAAAAATTTGTTCAGCTGTAGGTAAAAACAGAAACGAGAGAAAGGAATGAGATTAAAAATACAACACTAATGAATGTCATCGCATTTGCTTCATCACAAGATGATTCAGAGTCAGCGCAGGTAGATTTATTTAAAGAAAGTTGACAAATAAAGCATGGTTGAAATTTTTTTTTAAGTGATTCAAATTGTTTTAAAAATTTACTTTCAGTGAATATTTAATAGAAAAAAAATTTCAAGTAATATAATTTTACTACCTCCTAGAGCCCACCCTTGTAAGGCAAATTGCCTCTGGGTAGCCCTGCCCACCTCCCATGGATACAAAGTCGATGCACCGGGGTACCTCCCGTTGGGAGCCCCAACCCGTGGGTTCAGCTCAGGCCAACAGTACTTTGCTTACATACGACTTGTTTTATTTTTTGATTTTAGTCAATTTGAACCAATTAGTTTATAGTTTTTAATTTCAACGACAAAAATTAGTCAATCACCAGTGAGAATGAGAAAGTCGGCCAGCAAGTTTAAAGATACAGAGTTTAAAACATTTTGAGTGAAAGGAAACAATACAAATGGAAAAGTTTATTAAAAAGGTCAATCGATTGTTGAATCAATTCGTCAAGAAACTGATTGGATTCATTGCGACTTGACATCAGCTGATATTAAGAAAAAATAAAAAAGTAGAAAAAAACATTCTGAGTATACCCAAACCCAGCTCAGTGCCCCACCTGTGTCCTATCTTTTCCTTGTGCTTCTGCAGAGCGCGCTCCGCAACATCTTTGCTAACAAATTGAACGTAAGCCTCCCCCGTACTGCGGCCTGTGTAGTCTGTAGGTAGTGAAATCCCGTTCGGCAATATCTCCAACCCTGACCCACACAAATAATCAAAGAACGAGTTGTAGCTTAGCGCCCATTAAATTTAATTCGTTAAAAAATTACATCTAGCTTTTAACCATTTCATAAACATCAATTCTATTGAAAAACTTATGCTTCTTGTTTGTTTGCTTACTTTCAAATATTTACAGCAAAACATTAAGAAAGTTTTTTAATAGTACACAAGAGAATAAATACCTAACAAACTGTACAGAAACTAGTGCATCATTTAACAATTGTAAACTTTTTTTTTAGTATGCAAGTATTTATTCTCTAGTTGATTATTTTTTACATATATAGCTATTAAAAAAAATATATACACACACACACACACACACACACATATATATATATATNNNNTATATATATATATATGTATATAAATCTCTGAATATGCATGTATACTTATAATTACTGAGTAAATTTTTAAATGTTTAAAAAAAAAATACCTGAGAAAAACTGTGCAATTTCTTCCTTCGAGCAACCAAATGGTAAGCCCCTTAGTCTAACGCAACCATCATCCATGGCATTTTCCAGATTTAAACCGCTTCTTTTAATTATCCATTCCATTTCTCCTCTCTTTGCTTTGAAAACTAAAAGATTTGAGTGGAAAAGACACTTGATTAATGTCGATTGTTAATAAATGACAAGACTGGGAGGTATAGTGAAAAAATGATTATATGTTTTCACATAATAATAACCTTCGATGTATCGATGGCCCATGTGATCTCTGTTTCGCTTGCAAGCCTTCTCTATGTCTTCCTCGGTGTCCATTTCAATGTAAGCTTCTCCACTAGGTCGGCCTTCTCGCGACGTCGTCATGTGGACACCGGCTTTGCCACGGGTAATTTTGCATTCTCCAAAGAACTCCATGATTTCATCGACTGTTGTCGACCATGGCAAGCCCCTCACCCTGATCACGCAGTCCTCATCGTCGTGGTCGTTTCCGTTTGTCATCTTGATAACTCAGGAATCGACTCCTGGCCTCAACTAATAAACGATCTGAAAATGAGCGAATACTTAATGCAGGCACGACCTTAGGACACAACACACACAAACACACGCGTAAGCATATATATACACACAATGGAGGATGGGCGAGAGGTGTACACTTGCAAAATGAAGTACTCATTGAGTAAAAATACGCAAGAAAATATTCTTGCAATTTTTTTAATATCGAGACAAACAGCTACTCAAAGCTTGAGTAGAAAAATGTGTGATCGGGTGATCGAGTTGTATGTGTAGATGAATTATGTGAAATAGGTACACACTTAAACGAGCACAAGAGTAGGTATATAATATGCGCAACATCGAGGTACTTACGAAGCACTAACACTGTACAAACAAGAACTAAAGTCCAAACAAAGTAACAAGTACTTTTTCAAAAATCTTACCTACTAATTTGATGGGTAACTGCGATACCGATGCAACAGTGAAACGTCCTTCAATCGCTTCAAAATGCCCTGATGGCTGCTCTGCTCGCTCAACGTTGTCCGAAATACAATATGGCGATCGAAGCTAACCGAAGATATATAGATATATGAGAGATGTGTGTGCAAGAGAGATCCTTTTACTCCTTAGACTATAGTTACTACGGTAGGTACACTAGGTACACTATACTACCGCTTGTGTGCGACACTGTGACTGAGTCTGGTACTCTGATTCACGATTCACGAAGTAAGAGAGAAGGAGACGCAACTTAAGCGGAGCCGGCTCTCATACAAATGGTTACACCGTGGTCTGATTATATCGTGAATCGTGACACTTCGATACAATCGATACAAGATAATGTTTGATGTAGCTCTCTGATTGGTCGGGTTATTTAGAACAAACTAGAAAATCACTGGACAAAACCTATTGACAAAACCAACCAAACCAAAATAGTAGTCCAGAATCCAAAACTCGAGATTTTGAGATGTATCGATAAACTATCGATGTTTTACCCCCTTTTTTTGAATTCTCATAAAGTACGTTCATCCTCGCATTCATACTTACACTAGTCATGTATTTTGATTTATGGGACATTTATTCATTTTTTACACTCGTTTTTCACAGCGTACGTACATTATTACGGATTTCCAATGAAAAAGGCTTGCTTCAAAAATTAATTTTTGACATATTATCTATTTTTTTTTTTTTTNATGCGGCGAAGCATGAATGCTGCTATTAGATTTTTTACGAGTCTGAGAAAGCACGAGCACATCACGCCAACATACGAGCGACTTGGGCTTATTTAGTGTGCCTTATACGCCTTATATTGTGCGTCGAGGCTACATGTGCATTGTTTTGCTTGGTTTCATCTTGACCACTGGAAAGCAAAAAATTGAAACATTTTTCACTGTTTTAATAGGTACTAAAACCTTTCAAGGGTCCCGCCCAGTCGATACCACAGAATCTGTCTGGGAGAGTCTCCATCTAAACGCAGCCTCAATCAAATATTTAAATTGCTGGAAAAAATACTTATTTCAATAGATCTCGTAGATATTTGCAATTGGAGCTGGGAGCTTCTGCTTATCAGCTTCTCTGTAAGTGCATACATATATGATAGATATCATTATTAAGTATATCCTTAGGTACATTCTAGAGCTCAATTGTAAACCACACAAGTGCCACATTGCGTTGCTACTTAGTGTCTTAGGTACTCTTGACTAAGCAAAAAAGCAACATAAAAGCAAGAAATCGTTCAATCAAGTAAATATTTATTACATGTATTATATTTTATTTACACACATGATGTCGACAGCATTACATTAGCGCATTTTTTTAAGGGTTGCAAATTATTTTAGACTCATTTATTTGGAATAATAAATTGAAGTAAGAAAATCATACTTTAACTAATATAATTGTAACTTTCATTTTACGCTACCTATACAAACTTAAAGTGATAATAATATTCCATAAAAATATTTGTACTTTGAAACGTTTCAAGCTTGTATTTTAAGCGTACCGAAAATTTTATCAATAAATTTCAATTTAAGGCGTAATAATTTTTTACTTGTGGGAGTGTTTGTCTAACCTATATCATCAGACATCTCGAGTAAAAATTAGCAACAATAGATAAGCGTGGTCAATAAATATTAATGCTGAAACGTTTTTGATGTCGTTTGTTACACATAAGACTATTGTCCAAATACTAGTTGAATAACATTTCAACACTTTTTTCTTAACAAACCACAGTTTTGCTTTGATATATTTTTTTTTCCATAAATATACTATTTTCAGACATGCCAACTTATAAAGTAATATACTTTCCCGTAAAAGCTCTTGCAGAGCCCATTAGATTCCTATTCAGTTACGCTGGAGTTGAGTTTATCGATGACCGTTTTGATCGCGAAAAATGGCCAACCATAAAACCTAGTAAGTAAATGCACGATAATAATAAAAAAATGTATTAACGTCCAGTAATATTGCATTGTACTGGAATTCAACATTTTTGTACTTTAGCGATGCCGTTCGGCCAAGTCCCCGTTCTGGAAGTCGACGGCAAAAAAATCAATCAATCGACCGCTATATGCAGATATTTAGCAAAGCAATACGGCCTCGCCGGAAAGAACGACTGGGAAGCACTTGAAATTGATGCCGCTGTTGACACTATTCACGACGTACGAGCTAGTAAGTAAAGCGGAAATCATTTGAGAACGACGTGATTTCGTTTACTTTAATTTCAAAAAATTTTGCTCAGAACTAGGAGCATATCATTACGAAAGCAATGCCGAAGCTAAAGCCCAAAAACTGAAGGTCATCGAGGAAGTTGTTCCATTTTATATTGGTCGCTTGAACGAGCAAGTGAAATCAAACGGTGGATACCTCGTGGGTAACGCGTTATCCTGGGCAGACATAGTTTTCGTGGCTTTGCTGGATTACTTGAATTTCATGGCAAAGTACGACATAATTGAGAATGCCGAGCATTTAAAAGCTTTGAAAGACAAAGTTCTTTCGGAGCCTGGCATCAAGGCTTGGGTAGAAAAACGCCCTCAGTCGGAGTGTTAATTTTTTTTTTTTTTTTTTTTTCACCTATACCTACTTATTCCCGAATTTCTACTGCATTTGTATACGAGCACATTCGAACCATGTAAAATGTGCCACATAATTCTAACGTTTGTTAATAAATACCAAAAATCTTCACACGGGATATTTCATTTTATTTCCTTTAAAAACAATTTTTTAAATAGCGTAGAATGAAGAAGTTTAAAAAAAACTTGGTAACACGTTCACATCACCGTGACTAGAAGTTTCACGTCAATTACACGATTGACACTCTTATCGCGTTTATCGTAACCCGATAATTTTAACGATTTAGTCCCCAGGTGCCCGATTCTCCGAAGCTTTTCCTCGCTCGTTATGAGAATGAGCCTATTTCTAACGATTTTCATGCGTTAAATCAAACGTGTTTGGAGTTTCCACCTGTAGACACGAGACGTACATCAAGGTAAAGTTAAAACTTACTTTCGTACGTGTATAATATATCAAACGTATTTACTTACTGCTAATAATACGTATGATCATTATAATAAAACTTGACAAGTACTTATACGTTAATTACATTATTTATGTCTCTTTCTTTCGCTACGCTGTACACGACTATAATACCTACTTGTGCAGTATATAGACTGCAGAGAGTGAATTGCTAGCGACAGTGTCAAGTATCTTTTCCTCTCTCTTGAATACAGTGGTTTATCTGCATACCAAACCATATACACATATATATGATGTTTATAGCTGTACCTTTTTCGATTGTAACTAGTTTTCACCGATTAATCTAGCATTACAGAATTCATTGCTAGGTAAGACATTCATCTTAAAAATTGTTTTAAATACGTGCAACACAGCTATCCTACGAGAACTAACAAGATTATTACAACCATACATCGGTATTTTGAGGTTATAATTCTTTCATTCTTAAACAAAGTTTTAATTGTTAGATTTGTTGGCGTAGTTTTTGTGTTTTTCTTTTTTTTTTAAAAAAAAAAGAAAAAAAAAGGAACTTTAAGTTTTATGTGGGTGTACTTTNCGCCAGACGATTCCCACGCGCCGAGCTACAATGCCTCGGATTGCATCACCAATCAAGCCATCAATGGCTATTACAAGCCCCCCCAGGGATGTTTATGTCAGGTGTGCAAAAAAGAGGATGACGTTTTTTGTGTTTTTCTTTTTTTTTTAAAAAAAAAAGAAAAAAAAAGGAACTTTAAGTTTTATGTGGGTGTACTTTTTTTTGACTGTTTTGAAAGTTAATTGATTTTCAAATGAAAATCTCATCATTTCTAAAAAGTTGGTATGCTTCATATACATTTTACAATTTACATGATTCGGTTAATTGAATTACAAGAATGAATTATGTTCATTTTTATATTTTGAATTTACTATTACCGAACGATTCGTGACATGTGATGAGATTTATTTATCCATCGATCGTTATTATAGTTACACAGCTCTTATATTTTTTTTCTTTTTACATACACTGCTGTATTTGAGTATTGCTTACATCATTATTTAAGCTCTGTTTTTATATTATTACCGTTTAAAATTTGTTGCGAACATCTGATCGCAATAAAGAAGTAATTCATGCAAGAAATCGGTAAATTTTTTTTACCATCATTTATCTATGATTATTATTTTTAAATAGACATGTAGATTACAACTTCAAATTTTAGAAAAAAGTATCGTTTGAATTCAAAAGTTTTGTAACAGGTACTTACCATTATTCGATCGAAAATATTTACTCATGTACATACATAATGTTATGTTTACTAACTGTGTGCATGGCACTATATATTTAATACCATCAAAGCCAAGTGAGAGGAAGTTGGGCGTGGACATTATTTTTATTTTTATGCTTTATGTTGCTTACGGTGCACTTATATTTTCAAGTGAACTTCAAACAAAACAATTTCAACAAACTTCTTGGCCTCGAAGTTTTAAATTTCATAAATTCGTTCGGAAAAGTGTAACAAGTATATCCATGTGTGTGCATAATTATTGTCAACAGATAAGTTATGGGCAAAGGTGAGTTAAATGAGCAAGCAGATACCAACAGACCGAATTACCTGGTGAAACCAACAGAAGCGAGCAAAATGCTCGAAGCAGCTCTTCTTCAGATGGATGATATTCTATCTGGTAAGATTTTTAAATAGAGACGACATTTATTTCTGAAAATAATTGAAATTCATGTATTTTGAGAAAAAAAATTATTCTTTACTTTGCGTATTTTTATTTTATTTTATTAAGCTTCAACTTAAGTATTTATGGTATCGTTATGCGAAATTATATCACAAGTATTTCGGCCGGTTTAGTATACGATCCACCAGAAACTCGATACATACTGTACTTGAAAAAAGTTTTAATAAATATTATTACTGTTACCATTTCAGGAGTTGAAAATAACGAATCTAAAGATGCCATCAAAGACCTAACTAACAGTTTGGTAACTCTCCTTCAGAGTACACCCAGACCATTGCGTCCACCGGATGCTAATACTGTACAGATTTTAATGGAATGGCTGCAACCAGTAAGACTTTTTAAAATTTATTTCAACGCATTATAAGCTCTCAATTGTATGAGAATTATTCTTTTACTGATGGAAATGATTGCAATACATATATACGTGTAAAACGTATTAACAACAATTTGAAATTTTTACTTGAAGACAAAAAAATATTTGGTTTGTCTATATCTTTGCGTTATCACTGAGAAAAAAAAATTTCGTCAATCTAAATGAACGTTTATTTAAATGCAAACGAAAAATATTTATTTGAATAAAATAAATATTTAGTTAAGACTGTTATGTACTATGATTTTATTGCGTTGTAAAGAAATTATTTATTTGATTTAAACAAATATTTTTTTTATTTGTATTTAAATAAACGCTTATTTGGATTGATGAAATTGTAATTTCAGTCTGGTATTTACATAATTATACACACAGTCCATTTTAATATTAGGAAAATACCTAGTTGGCGGTTAGTGAAGTAAAGGTCCTTTTCATCAGTGTTGATGCGCGAATTGAAAATTTGAATTGACTTGAAAATTTTATATTTGTTTTTGCAAATAATTATCTTTACGACTGTTTGTTGGAAAAATTGATTTTTTTTTTTAAATATACAATTCCTTTTCGTTAAATTACTAACTTAATTAAGAACCCCAAGGATATTTGACCAACACTCAAAGAAGACATGGAGGTGTTGATATAAGAGTACAAGAAATATCGATTTACAGAATAAAATCAATTGTTAGTCCGTTATTAAAATTATGATGAAATATAACGATCGTTGCTGCATTAGAGTGCACCTTGATTTACATAATTCGTCCAATTCTCAAAGACAAGAAGTCACTAGATGCTATTTATAAAACACGTCTGCAAAGGCTTTCCCCTCACGTTTAATTTTAGTTTTAAAGTCATCCCGACATGGCAAGTGTTTATTAGACGGAAAAGACAAAAATGTACTCGTTTGTTCGGACAAGATTGTGCAGTTTAGTTGTACTATTTAATTGTATTATTTTCTCTTGAAAGAACAATACACAAAATCCAAGCAACACAATTAAAAATCCTGTCAAACGGAAAAAAAAACAAATCAAAAGAGAACCACAAAGCTACAGTCAAGAAATCTTCTCACAATTTACGTGTGCCACAGTGATCTGCTGTACATCTATACGCAATGGGAGATAGAGAAAAGACCACTTTCCAAGGTTTACATCTTATGATCGATCATTATTTAAAGTTTTTTTTTTTTTTTTTTTTTCATCATACCCCGAATCATTTTGTGATAATATGTAATCAATCGAAATCCTCCGGCATAGCTGGATCGATTGATCGTTGGGACGATGGTTGGGCGCAGTCGGAAGCGGACGAATCGTCCGGTACGTTATCAACGTCGACATCCGAGCCCGCGGGTGAAGAGGACTGCTCGCCAGACGATTCCCACGCGCCGAGCTACAATGCCTCGGATTGCATCACCAATCAAGCCATCAATGGCTATTACAAGCCCCCCCAGGGATGTTTATGTCAGGTGTGCAAAAAAGAGGATGACGTTTATTACATCCGTATGATTCGTTTCTCCAGTAAATCATCAAAATTATAATACCGTACTTTCAGTCGTGTTTACTGCAGGGCTTAGCCAAGGTGATTGCCCTACACGGAAGCTTGCCAAACATTTGCGCGGCAACCAATGCTGCCCAATCCGTTAACTTGCCCTTCTGTTGCAATTCATCCTATTCAAGGTTTTTCCCACAATTTCAATCTAAATTTGACCTTTTTGTTACTAGTTTGAAATTTTTACCAGTGTGAGACATTTGCTTTGTTTTCCCTGCACAAAAAATATAACAAAAAAAACAGCTTGTGTGTGTTCCCTTCATTGATACTCGATTCTCTGGTTTGATTTGCACAATGCGCGCTTGGAGTATTAATTTTTCGCTAACAAATGCATTTGCCGTTGTTTTTACATGGTGTGGCCATGGCCTGGATGCGATAATATAACAAACATACCCTGTACATTTTTGCAGCATTCCACTTGAATTAGTTCAACGCGTTTCCAAAGAATCATCGGCCCACTGTGCCCCTGGACTTGGCTGTCCTGCAGGTCGCAAAGTGTGCAATTGTTTATCGTCGGTTCATGCGGCCCATCTGGCCTCTGGTTCTACCGCCGTCGGTCCTCTGGTATCGGAAAAAATAATTAATGGGAATAACAATCCACCCAACACCACGTCCGCCCGGGGCACGTGTTGCGTCGGTTCGATAGATCGTCGCAAGAGAAGATTCAAAAGTAAAACCGACCGGTGCCAGAGGATCAACAAAAGTCAAAGTGACTTGATTAATTACGAGAAAAAAAATAAGCCCCAATACTGCTCGCTACAACATTTTAAATACCACAACAAGTGCCCTGAACATACAGAACAGGTACTTTGCAGACATTACGGGGGTTCTTGTTTTTTTTTTCTTTCCCTATCCTCAAGCAGGTACTTTCAACATTTCCAACAAACAGTCCAACATAATTTTTTATAACGAAGAAGAAAAAATATGAAATGTTTTACGTATACGTAGATCAAAAGCAAATATAAAATTTGTGAATTTTCAATTTACGTTGCGGAAAATCTCAAATTGTTAATTGGACTTGAGGTGTATATAATACTTGTCTCGCAGGAACGTTTACAAAAGTTGGAGAACGAACGAAGTTCTCTGCACATGGAAATTTCCATTTTGTCCGAACAACTGGACGCCCAGTCTTCAAAAATCTTAGAGTTGGAAAATGCATTGAAAGACAAAAAGGATGCCCTGAGGCTCATGGAAGAGTCGCTACAGAAGGTTACCATACTTATTATTTGTACAAAGTTTTACTTTGACTTGATGGTAAATTTTACATTTGATGCTCGCTCAGGAGGTGTTGTCACGCAGTGCCTTGGAAACTCAAAAGTTGGAACTTTTGAGCTCGCTGTCCGAAATGAAACTAAGGCAAGCAAATTTGGAGCACGAAAATTTATCTTTACGCAGCACGAATTTTTTGACCAATGCAAGTTTTCCTTTTGTTTCTTTTACGTACTTACCAATTATTTTACTGCAACATTGAGGGTTTAATTTCAACAATAATTACAGAGCGAAAGATTCAGCAGACATGCCGGGCATTACAGTAGCCTTCCCCGACCCCCTACTTCGCTCAAACGAGGCGTCGCATTTGGTAAGACCATCATCAAACAAAACGACGAGTTGACCGGATTAATCACATTTGAGTTAAAATTTAGCTGCCGAGGATAAAAACTCCATCGTGATGGTGGACAAGGCGACTCCTACGAGGCCTTTCACTCAACTGTCCGTCGAAGAAATTGGCGATTGGCTGGCTAATTTGGGCTTGGAGTCCTACACGAGTGAGCTCAAACGGTGGAACGCGACAGGGGCCAAATTACTCGGCACGTCGACTAATCAGCTCGAGAAGGAGCTCGACATAAAAAACGCCATGCACAGGAAAAAACTACTTTACGCCATTGAATCGGAAAAGAGCAGTGGCGCTGGATTTTTCGGATCGGAAAAGGTTTGCTTTTCAATCATCTAAACGAGAGGCTCTAACACCATTAAATTAATACCTACCTTTCAGATGGACAACGCCGCTGTGCTGCGTTGGCTGGACGACATTGGCCTACCTCAGCACAAAGAAGCATTTTTCAACGCAAAAATCGACGGCCGCGTGCTCAACCGATTGACGACGGAGGATTTGTTTTACCTCAACATTACCGGACAACTGCATGCTGCAAGCTTACGTCGGGGTATCCAGGTATGCACACACTCGTACAGGCTTGATGATTTTTAATTAAAAAATGGAGCAAATGACACCCCATGACTGTATCGATAAATACAAAGGTCTTGAGGGAGTTGAACTATGAGTTTGACAACTTGGAGCGTCGGTCGGCTAATAATCCAGCCAGCGCGAACGAAGGAAGTCGAGTGGCCCTGTGGAGTAATCATCGGGTGATGGAGTGGTTGAGGGTCGTCGATTTGGCCGAGTACGCGCCAAACATGCGGGGTTCGGGAGTCCACGGTGGCCTCATGACTTACGAGCACCGTTTCAACGCTGAGCTCTTGGCCAGCTTGCTCAGTATACCACCCGCGAAAACCCTACTTCGGAGACACCTAAACACCCACTTTAACGAAATCATCGGCAGAGACGTTGTTCAGTTGAAGCGGCAGATGGAACATACTCTTGGTTTTACGCCTCTTACGCTTACGGCTAGATTAAAGGTACGGCAAATTTACATGTGTAACTAATATGATCACAAAAGGGCACGGCTAATTGTTGTATCTGTGATATTTAGACACCAAAGAGAACGCAATTCACCCTTAAGCGTAAAAAAAGCAAAAACGAAATGGATTTTGGAAATTTGGTTTGCCCATTGGAAGACACTCCTCCAGGTACACCTCAATCATCAGCTTCGACGACAAGTCCGGGAAGCTCTAATCTCAATTCACCCACATTTTAACCGCAATCATCAATCATTCAAATTATACATGCCATCATCTCACGACTATACTAACCTGTAAGTTTATTTAATAACTTAACTAATAAAATGCTTCTTTTTAAGTGCATCTCATCACACTGGATCGTTGTAATACATATATACATATAATACGTACATTATTTTGCAACATGCTAATGAGTAATAAAAAAAAGTGTTAACAGCTATTATTATTATTTTTTTTCTATTTTCATTTTCAGACAGGGAAGCTTCGCCAGAAACAAATCAAAAGAGAATAATTGGCTGTATATAATTATAATAATTGGTATTTTTTTATATAAAAATAAATGTACATAAATTTTTTCTTTTGTAAAAATTGTAATACAACCACGATATAAATTATCAAGTGTTTTAATATATATATTATATATACGTCTCGTCCTTGATCCCACAGTCATCACTATAGTCAAAAATCTCTAAACTGCATTTAAACATTTACAGGCGTATAGAATGTATACCAAGCCGATGCGGCTTTAGCATTTAATCCATTCTCCGGAGCTGCCACACTATTATAGACTCGGCTCGCTTTCTCTTGCTCCCCTCTCCTTGGTATACCTTTCATTTGCCTTTCCCCGATTCCCTCGCTCTCTACAACGTATACTCCAGTGTTCAATCTTCTCTTTGGCGTTCGTCTCCAGATTTCAATGATGTGACCCCCATTCCAAGTTTTCACTTTCGTAAACTTTGATTAATTTTTTCTAAATTTATGTTATATATATATATTCTAAAACGTGCCAAAGTACATACAAAAAAGTTACGTCGAGTTATGATAAGTTTTCCATTGAAATAAATAAACAGCAAACAACGTCGTCTTATTCCATCTCCGATAGATGAAGATTTCACGAAAAAAAGAAACGGCCGAATAAATATCGGATACCACTGAGACAATCTGCTCGCACCCAATGACGTAAGTTTTGCGTTTAAAAGTACCTTTTGTACCTGTTTGTTCACTTTCACGTTGAAAGTCAGAAAATCGCGGAAAAAGAAAATGCTTTATCTGTCACATTGAAGGATACGATTTATCGATTTAGATTCCTCGCTTTTGTAATAATCCTTCTGGTGAGGGTGACGCTCGCAACCGAGAGCGACGTATGGCGTCCTTGCGGGGAAATCAAGCGCGATCTGCGGATACCATGTGCGTGCGCTCTGACAGTGTCTGGCGCGAGGAAGAATGTGCTCTCCGTGCGAGTCAACTGCGACCGCGTCGCTCTCAACGGCGACCTGATCCCACGGCTCAACGACTCGACGATCGTGGCTTTCAGCCAGAAGTTCGCGGGCCACCGCGGCTTACCGGTCGCGGTGACGAGCGCCCTCCCAGGTACCCTGGAATCCTTGGACTTTAGCGACAACTCGATCCGCCGGTTGGCCGATCGGCATCTCCGAGGACACCCCAACTTGACGGAACTCCGTCTGGCGAACAACGCACTCGGGGACAACGTCAATCCCATATTTTCGAGCAACGAGTTTCACGAGCTTTCGAGCCTGAAGCTCTTGGATCTGCGATCGAACGGACTGCGCGGCATCGAGGAGGGGATTTTCGCGGGATGCCCCAGCTTGGAGGAGCTGTACTTGGATTTTAACAATTTAACGCGGCCGCCGGTCGGATCGCTAAAAGGACCAAAGGCCTTAAAAGTCCTCGGTCTGGCTGGTAATAGAATCGGTAAGTGTGTATGTGTGTGCTATATGCGGCTTGCGCGTCGGTGCGAAACTTACAAAGTCATATTTTCAGATTCGATCGATTACGGTGCTTTTTCGATTTTCGGAGAAACACTGTTGAGCCTCAACTTGAGCAGCAATGAAATAAACTGGTTGAAGGACGGTGCTTTTACAGAAATGACAAGTCTCGCGGTTCTCGACATGTCGGGTAATCTTATCAAGAATCTGAACAGCGACGCTTTGAAAGGTCAGTAAAAGTGTCACGAAGATGTTTCTCGAAAGTTCATAGTGGATAAAAATTTTTTTTTTTCATTCGTTACCCTTACAGGTGCGTACAATCTTCGAGAGCTCGACATGTCGAAAAATCTATTCGAGAACTTTCCAACCGAAGCCTTGCGCCATCTCAAAAATCTTCGAATCCTCGATATGTCGCACAATTCAATCACCGTAAGTTAAGAATCGCACATGATTTTCCGCCAACACAACACAGCACACAAGTATAATGTATTGATTATGCGTTCCAGGAATTGAGGCGCCTGCACCTGGAGGACTTGAAAAATCTGCAATATTTAGACTTGAGTCGAAATAAAATTGCACACTTGGGCTCGAACACATTTGCCGATTTGACCCACTTGGTTCGCCTCGATCTAGCTTTCAACTTTTTACGCACCGTGAGTGACATCATCATTGTTAAAGCTACCATATCTATTTAAAATAAAGTACCCACGCGTCCTCTCGTTGCAAACATACAGATGGACGAATCGTCGTTCGGAGGACTGGGCAAGTTAAATTGGCTGTCGCATCTTGACTTGTCGCACAACCAACTGAGCGAGGTCGATCGTACGGCTGCTCTAGGGAACAACAGCCTCCTGTCGTTGAATTTGGCCAGTAACCGGTTGACCAGGATATCCGCTGACGTGTTCAAGCACCTGGTTAGATTGGAGCGCCTCAACATAAGTGATAACCCGCTCTACGGCGGATTTCCCCCGGTTTTCCCTCGATCGCTCATCGAGCTGGACGCCACGCGTACCGGCCTCGAGGTATTGCCGGCCGTCCTCCTCTTGAACCTCGCGAGCCTCGAGCGCCTCTATTTCGCGGGAAATCGGCTGCGAGAGATCGACGAGGCCACCTTCAGTCACCACTCGAACCTGACTCTCATCGATTTGTCAGACAACGAGCTCGCTACTCTGAGCAAAGGTGCCTTTGTGGGCCTCCCCAGCCTCAAAAACCTACTTCTCCACGGCAACAAGTTCACAAACGTGTCGTCGCAACTGCTCCCGGCTTTACTGGAGGACCGCGCCGGCTTCGCCAACTCCCGAGGAGTGAACATCAGTCTCAGCTGCGATTGCGGGTCCAAAGCTCTATGGAAGAGACTCAGAGTATTCGGCAGCGCGATCGTGTGCTTGTCACCGGTCGATGGTCAATCATCGTCTTGCGCATCAAAAGATGATGTTCCGATCACTGCACTTGAAACTGTAAACAGCAACAACAGCCAAGACGACAGCGTCGATTCAACGAGTACCGATCCGATTACTCCTCTTGAAGAGAGTAGCCCGTCGACGAGTTCGGAGCCCGCAATCGTCTGGAGCACGACGGCACCAACGTTTCCGGTACCACATCGTCAATGACTTATATAAATATTTTCGTACAATTATACGTGCCATGCACATTCAATATCGTTTACGTATTCATTTTTTTAGGACTCGAAAAGTAACAAATCATCTTACGAGCATCCGCCGGTGAGCGTATCGGGCATTGCTGGTAGTGCAGATGATTTTCTTATAATTGGAATTATTCTGGCGGTGGTGCTTCTCGTACTGATCGTCGCAGCAACAATATGCGTGTATCGAATACGCCGAAATTCTCATGTACGCGCTGCAGCCATGGCTTCCAGTATGCATGACGCGTCGATGCTGCGACCGGCCAGCAGTAACTTTGGCGGCGGTAAATTAAATCATCAGGACTGCGTTTACGTGAATTCGTACAACGGTTCCACTCTGATGAGGCATCACACTTCAGGCAGCAATGCCACCAATGCAACATCGGCCTCGCCCGTCCAAATGCTACCCCTTGTACAGCCCCTGCCCATCATTCATTCCACACCAAATTCGCAATCGATGTACGGCTATTACGATAATGTCACGCCTTTTTACGTCATTTCAACCGATAACAAGTGGGATTGACAAATATTTCGTTTGTTTTTAACCCAGCCTTCTCAAAGAGCCATAAGCACTAAGTGTAAGATTGGACAAGAAATGTTAAATTTATTTACTATTTTACGTGGGTTAGATTGTCAACGTGTAAGTATGTGTAAAATAATCGTGTAAAATTTAAGCTGACTTTTTATTGCAATGATAAATCGTTTCTATGTTGTTGCTGTTTACCAGCCCAGTAGTGTGTTTCAAGTTTGTTTGTTGTGGTATTTCGTGAGTCATAGATTAATGATTATAAATTTTTATTTGTAGAATACGTGCTTTTTATAATTTGTCAAGAGCACGTAATTGTAATAAATTAATCAAAATTTAAGAATTATCATCAGTTTTTGTTACTATTAAAAATTTCTTTGATTCAACAAGTACCTTTGATGCCTGACTTGGGGATAAATTTGTTTCAAAATATTCAAATTTGACAAATCGAGATGGGTCAAACATTTTATAGTTTTCTGATGCCTCTCTTGCTAAATTCATTGATCAATTGTACCAGTTGGTAAATTTTGTTTTTTTTTGGGACTAATCGTTAAGGAGTCATTATTATTATGAAAATTACTGGGTACTTTATTTTTGTAAACTTCTTATAAAAAATTTTTTTTTGCGTTTATTGATTTTTATCATATGTGATATATATTAAATAAAAAAGGCACCTGCGGAAAAAGACTCCATTCTTTTTAGCTCTTGTGTTTCGGCGTTGGCCTCGAATCGAGCCATTCGTTGATCTGGTTGCTGTTTCTCTCGAGCCATGCAATATTTGTTTCGACAGTTTCCAGTGCTTGAACTCGATAGGAAGCTCCCGCTCCAGCCTCGGGATACTTTTCGAAAAAGCTGTGCATTTCGTTCAACTTTATAGTCGTGGAAAATTTTCTAGTAATAGCGGGTATCAGTTGTCCCAAGTAGCGATCGTTCAAAGTATATCGAGTTACGAGCAGTTGCCAATTCTCGCGCACCCAGTCCCACACCAAAAGTCTACCTTCCGGATTGTTAGATATGCTTGAGAGACAATTGAGGGCATCTTGCGATCGTATATAGTTTTCATCCATTGCCAAGTTTATGTATCTAAAAAGAATAAGGGGAGTAAAATCCTGTGCACGCGTCATCATTTACAGATTGATAATGTATTACTCATAAAAACTTACTTTTTCAGGATCCAATTTGAACGAATACCCGCCAATCCTTTCATTAATTTAACTTTTTCTGCTGCATTATTCTCCTTGGTAAATCTTTCAAACATGACATTCCATTCTTGCTCGCCTCCAACGGAATTCATGCCTACGAGAATTGTAGCAATCAACGAACTGAGTATCGTCAGAATAGATTTTGATACAAAAATTTCTTACCATAATAATAAACAAGGTCGCGAATATCTGGATGAGGTCGTACATCTTTTTCATTGTTTATCCAGGTCTTAAACACATCCCCGACTTCTTCTAAGCACTCGGCATGGCCAACGTAACAGGCAAGACTCAAAATGGTGTTTCTCAAGTTCCTTAATTAAACGTTTTTTTTTTTTTTTCAATCATGTTTGAGCAAACAGTGCGACGAGATATAATTTACGTAAAATGTTAGACTTACGAAGTTTCCGGCTCTTCCGATTCATCGGGATTCCATGTTACATCGTGATAGGCACCGTCTACGAGTTCTCTTACATAGTCCTGAAAATTTAACTGTTTAGTACTTGGTATTTTGCAGAGCCATGGACACGAATCACACATAGCTTACGCGGAACTTTTGCAAGAATGTAGTCGACGACAGTAACGAATCGATAAATTTGAAATTACTCGCAGCAACATACCATGGTGGATAATTTTTTTCATTGCCCAAATAAAGTGTCATGTTCAAGACGATGAGGTAATCTAATTGTTCAGCGTTGGCCAAACTGAAACCATCTTCGAGTAAATGAGTTCTATCTTGAATGGAGAAACGCTGCAATAACGTGATTTTATTATTTAGACTGGCAGATTTGTGCAAAAATTAAAAAGGTTTACCTTGTGACTCCAAAGGAGAACGTTGAGCAAAGTTTCCCAGCCAGATGCGCAATAATTGACTCGATAATATCCAACTTGATCGGCATTGAATTTAATCCAGTCAACAGGCTCGTTTAATTCAACCGTTACTGTAAATAAATTGTTCTGCTATAATAACCAACATGTTCCATTTACACATCTTACAAACACTCACGATTACTGGCATCCTTGTCGAACCAAATCAACGTTGGAGTAGAATTTTTACTGGTTACATAAGTTATTGGAATTGTCCACTTGTAACCAAACTTAGATTCCGACTCGTTACATTTAGCATTTGCATATGATAGGAATCTTTTCTGCGTTAAAGTGTACTTTGAGCCATCTTTAGCAACATTTACTACGGGAAAGCCCATTTGAATCGTCCATGTATTCATAAAACCTTGAATATTTACTTGATCTTTAACATTTTTCTGCAGCATGTTGAAAAAGTCTTTAGTTTCTGCGTTCCCATACGAAAATTTCTTTAAATACATCGTTGTTCCAGTAAAAAAAGTATCAGAACCCAGAGTTCTTTCCAGCATACGTAGGATTGATGCTCCCTATAAAAGAATAGAAAATTCAATAAATTGGTGCTTCATGTCCTCGCACGGGCGATAAATTGAATTAATGCCTGTTGTCGACCTTTTGATAAGAAATAAGATCAAAAATTGCCGTTATTTCATCGGGACTATTGACTTCCTGAACAATGGGATGTGAACTTTTTTTTGCATCAAAGTTTAAAGCGGGATGTAATACTTGGAGTGCAAAATGGTCCATCTGAAAACGAGGTTTCAATATTTATTACGAGCCTAAAATAGTTAGGCTAATTGTTTGGCTGATTTACTAAATGCCACTCGGGAAATATTGCGCTTGCACTCTTGTACGTCATATAAGTTGCAAAGCCTTCATTGAGCCAAAGATCGTTCCACCATGCCATTGTTACTAAAGACATAAACATTGAAAAATGAGAATCCATAAAAAAAATTTCCATCAAATGAATAAAACTTTAAAACGTTACCCAAATTTCCAAACCACATGTGTGCAAATTCATGCCCAATTACACCAACTATAGCCTCTTTGTTTTCTGTGGATGTGGATTTATTACTATAAAGAAGTCTGGCTTCTCTGTACGTTACAAGCCCCCAATTTTCCATTGCACCAGAAACGAAATCCGGAATAGCTGCCATATCTAGTCAGTGAGCATCAATAAAACGAATTAATCGTCATGACAGTGCATTTAACGGCCAATTAGGCGAGTGTCCGTACCCAGTTTTGGTAAAGGATAATCAATTTTGAACAAATTTATATAGTATTCAATGATTTTTACGCCAACGTCCAAAGCAAACGATCCCTTTTCTTTTTGAGTTCTAGTTGTATATACGCTGATAGGGAAAGTTCGTCCATTGAGTCCATTTGCTTTTCTCGTTACTGCAACAAAGTCACTAACGATAAAGCAGGCCAAGTACGTCGACATTGGCACAGTTTTTGCAAATACAGCGGTGGTCAATCCTGCTGATGGTTTGTCCACCATAAGGTCCTGAAAAAATTCATACAACCAACAGTAGCAATCACCTTGATTGCGATCAAACAAAGAATATTATTCACAACAACAACCTTGACGTTCATATTAGACAAAGCATGATAGCAATCTCCACTAGGGTGTACAAGCTTAACTTCAAACTCTGCCTTGAATCCTGGCTCGTCAAAGCACGGAAAGCATCTTCTGGCGTAAGTTGGCTCAAATTTTGACGTGGCAATGGTTCTAAGGTAATATACAAATTTTTTTAAAAGCACATCACCTTTAAGATGATATTTTCAAAGTTTTCTTTGTAAATTTGAAATTCTTCAGTGTCAAAGCTTGAAAAAATGCATATGAATTTCTACTGCAACCAAAAAAAGGATTTTTTACCAATGAATTCTTTTTATGTCAAACTTTCAAAACTTTCTCTCAAATGTACTTTTACCAAGCTTTGAAAGTAAAAACGTATAAACGTTGCTTACCTTGTTTTGTTTGCCTCATCTTTGTACTTGCTTGAGTAAAAGCCGACAATTTTATTTTGAAGCGATCCCTCAAACGACAAACAAAGATTATACAGACCTGAGCTTATTTCTTCCCTCAAAGCTATATTAAAAATCTCATTTTCATTGTCCGTGTAACTTTTTTCAATCACCACTTTACCATCATCTTCTTGGCTTCCGTGCGGTTGTAAACTGACAACGGTAACATTCAAATCTTTTTGGTGTAATTGCAAATGCTTACGATTCAATGAGACATCAATGAGAATTGATACTTTTCCCGTAAACGTGCCCTTTTCTATATCTGGATGCAGATAAAGATCGTAATTCAAGGGCCTCACCGATTGAGATAATCGAAAATTCTTGTCCATGCCAGCCATATCGCTGTACTGTCCCACTAAATGATGGCTTGATCCCACAAATTCTAAGAACGTAATTTTTACAATAATAAAACTATTTTTTCATAATTTAAATAGTATTCCTTTTTTTTTAATTATAATGTTCATCAACGCTTACCACCAAGAAGAGGAAAAAAAAGACTAGCTCGACGTCTTAAAAATATTACAGAAGTTGTAATGCACAAACAAGTTAAGATAAGCATTAGACACAAAATACAAATAATACCGACGGAAAAGAAATTGAGGTTATGTTTTTTTGGAACCTTACGTTCACTGCTAGTGCTGCTACGCGGATCATCGTACATTCTGCAAAAGAATATACTTAACGTATATATAAGTGTATCCGAGTGCGTGTATACGCAAATATAAAGGTTGCGGCAGAATTAAAACGATACGTTTTTAATAGTTATTCTTTATTACAGAACAAGTACACAATAAATTTTTCTTTGAAATTTAATAAATTATGGTGGAGTAACGAGTATGTACATGAATGCGATAGCAGTTTGTCCTCAGTAAGTCGGCACTCGGCAGTTTAACTTGGCTTGGCTTCAATTTGTCACTACTTAAATATACTATATACCAGCTCACTTGACAAATGACGACACCCAGTACTAATAAATGATTCATTGATCGTACAAGTTATGTTTTTCTAAGGCAATTTTAACTATTTTCATGACGAAAATTTTAGGTAATTTTGAGTTCCCTTATATAAGTAAATTAATTGTTGCGCGTCAAAGTTTACATGAATAAAAGTATACAATTATTTTATTGTTGGACTAGTAAATGATCGATGTATGTACATATAACATCTATAACTTGAATGTACAATAACAGTGTTTTTTTTTTTTTTTTTTTTTTTTTTTTTTTTTTTTTTTTTTTTTTTAAGTTTTT